ACCATCTATTGGCTAGATACAGAAACACCTAGTGGTCAGGTACAGCACCAGCTCCTATCATAAACTGTACCACCATCTATTGGCCAGATACATCAATCCCTAGTTGTCAGATACAGCCCCCCCTCCTGTCATAAACTGTACCCCCATCTATTGGCTAGACACAAAAACACCTAGTGGTCAGATATAGCACCACCTCCTGTCATAACCTGTACCACCATCTATTGGCCAGATACATCAATTCCTAGTGGTCAGATACAGTACCAACTCCTGTCATAAACTGTACCACATTCTATTGGCCAGATACATCAATACCTAGTTGTCAGATACAGCACCACCTCCTGTTATAAACTGTACCACCATCTATTGGCCAGATACAGCAATGCCCAGTGGTCAGATACAGCACCTTCTCCTATCAAAAACTGTACCACCATCTTTTGGCCAGATACAGCAATATCTTGTGGACAGATACAGTACCACCTCCTATCATAAACTGCACCACCATCTATTGGCCCGATAAATCAATACCTAGTGGTCAGATACAGTACCCCCTCCTGTCATAAACTGTACCACCATCTTTTGGCCAGATACAGCAATATCTTGTGGACAGATACAGTACCACCTCCTATCATAAACTGTGCAACCATCTATTGCCCAGATACAGCAATACCCAGTGGTCAGATACAGTACTATCTCCTATCATAAACTGTACCACCATATATTGGCTAGATACAAAAACACCTAGTGGTCAGATATAGCACCACCTCCTGTCATAAACTGTACCACCATCTTTTGGCCAGATACAGCAATATCTTGTGGTCAGATACAGTACCACCTCCTATCATAAACTGTACAACCATCTATTGCCCAGATACAACAATACCCAGTGGTCAGATACAGTACCATCTCCTATCATAAACTGTACCACCATATATTGGCTAGATACAAAAACACCTTGTGGTCAGATATAGCACCACCTCCTGTCATAAACTGTACCACCATCTATTGGCCAGATACAGTAACCCCCAGTGGTCACATACAGCTCCCCCTCCTGTCATAAACTGTACCACCATCTTTTGGCCAGATACAGCAATACCCTGTGGTCAAATACAGCACCTTCTCCTATCATAAACTGTACAACCATCTATTGCCCAAATACAGCAATACCCAGTGGTCAGATACAGTACCACCTCCTATCATAAACTGTATCACCATCTTTTGGCTAGATACAGCAATACCTAGTGGTAAGATACAGCACCACCTCTGCTCATAAACTGTACCACCATCTTTTGGCCAGATACAGCAATACCCAGCGGTCAAATACAGCACCATCTCCTATCATAAACTGTATCACTATCTTTTGGCCAGATACAGCAATACCTAGTGGTAAGATATAGCACCACTTCTGGTCATAAACTGTACCACCGTCTTTTGCCCAGATACAGCAATACCCAGTGGTCAGATACAGTACCATCTCCTATCATAAACTGTATCACCATCTTTTGGCCAGATACAGCAATACCTAGTGGTCAGATACAGCACCACCTCCTGTAATAAACTGTACCACCATCTATTAGTAAGACACAGCAATATCCAGTGGTCAGATAAAGCAGACGAATAGTCATAAACTGTACCACCATGTATTTGCCAGATACAGCAATACCTTCTGGTCAAATACAATACCCCTACTGTTATAAATAGTGCCATCTGCTAATCAGATACAGCACCACCTTTTGTCATTAACAGCACCATCTATTGGCCAGATACAGCTTCACCAACTAGTCAGATACAGCACCACCTTCTGTCATTAACAGCACCATCTATTGGCCAGATACAGCATCACCAACTAGTCAGATACAGCACCACATTTTGTCATTAACAGCACCATCTATTGGTCAGTTACAGCATCACCAACTAGTCAGTTACAGCAACACCTGCTGGTCAAATACAGAACCCCTACTGTCATAAACAATGCCATCAACAGTGCCACCTGCTGGTGACATTCAATGACACTGAGGGGTCATTACTTGATCCCTTTCAATCACTCTCAATTAAAAGCAATTTACTTAACCTTGTAGGTTATCCTTTTCAAATAAAGGGAGATAATAATGAAAGGTACATGTAGATTAAATAGGGACAAAACTAGTGTTGGGAATCGCTTGTAAATTCATACTTGATCATCACTTCAAATCAAGTGATTGATGATCGACTAATGATTGATCTAATTGAACTAAAAATTCAGAAATTTAAGGTTATAATCGCTTTCTGAAATCTACTTCTGAAATATCGCTAATAACACACAACATTCATACAAAAAACAATAACTTTGTTGACAGAACCTCATAATTATTGAAAAATATGTATTTGGAAGTAAATTGATGATGTTTGCAATGTCCATTATGCTGTGACAGCTACATCTCGTATTCAGAGATGCTGCGATGGATTGGCATTCACCTGATGACACCCCGTCAAACTTAACATTTTATTTGTAAGATAGCCCACACTTTCGACAAAGCGTTTTATTTATATCCAGCTAATTAGGACAAACAAAACCTTCCAAACGTTTAATTCAGTAGCCCCCGGATGATCATAGAGTTTAATCTCCGGAATGTCCTGGTTTGCCATATTGCCACGCAGCATTTCTATTGAAACGCAGGTTCTGACTGCCAATCAGCGCCGTCGTTGTGTGAGACCTTCGGTGAAGTTGCTTTGCCCAAGAACGAACAACTCGCTGTCGGCGGTAATAACAGTATCCAAGTTTATTTTTTGTTAATACTTAAATTAGTCAAACTATAAATGATCATGGAAAACAAGGATCGGATTTTCAGAAACAAAAAACCAGACGTTGACTAAATTGATTAATCGGAACAACACTAGACGAAACGATAATGACATAGGATATATATACATTGATAATTTAAAACTCAAGTTGGAAAGTTTACAAAAAAAGTCAATTTCTGAAAATATTTTTTCTTTTCTTTTTTCTATCAAAAACCAAAAATGTTTTTTTAAATGTGGTTTTTTTCTACATTTTTGGTGATGTTTGTCTAATAAAAACCATACAGGGACCGTTTGTCACCTAAAGTATGACACTGTGCATATATTAACTATCTAAAACCAGACCAGAATGTTTTACATCTCTAAATATTAGTAGAAGTTTGAAAAAATATTTCCCAGTCCTTTAAAAACAGATAGCTTCAGTCCATTGAAAATAGATAGAACTTTTAGCTCTTACTTCTGGTTGTTTTCTCATGTTTTTCTGGAACAAATTTGATGACACAGATGAAAAAAAAGATATTATGTAAGCTCTTTATGAAAAGATACAAATTTGTGAAATAAACATTTGTCACTTTGATGACCAGTTAATGTTTCAATAACCATTCACATTTGAGGAAGATCTGACAACCAATAATAGCTAAGGAGGATAACAACCAACCACATTTGATGAATCAGACAGAGGACTCTATGCCCTACTTTTATCAACCATTACTGTAACTGTTCGGGAGATTTCTTCTGACTTTTGGTTTTGGTGCTGATTGATGCTGCACCATGAAATGAGTTCAACAAGTTTGAAATGGCAAAAAAGCAATATGGAATGCAGTGACACAAATATAACAGTTTCATCCATGACTGAAATCTGGCAGAAAAAGCAATGTACAATTTTGAAATAGCAATTACAATATTACAACAATATGTAAACAGCAAATCCAGAAAACTCAGCGCACTTACTCGTCAGTCTTATTATATCTGTCAAGGTTTTTTTCTCTCGCCAGGACACAAATATTACATAGACATGTACACCTGTATGCCACTTCAAATTTCTTATTTATATAATACACATTTCCCCCTGCAATACTTTATTTCAGATATTTGAAAATACCTTGTACCTTTATCCAGAATAAGATACTATATGCAAATAATCTATAGCATTGTATGTATATCTCAATATCCAAATTAAGACAAGTACACTATGAGAATTAGTTGCAGCATTGTGTATCCAGATAACTGGAGCAAGCTTAAGATAGCATATGACAGAAAATCTAATTGTATATCAATACCTAGAAATAATTTGTGTGATTCAGAATGAATTGGGCTATTTATAGTAATTAACAGTAACCTTGACCTTTATCCATTGAACCTGGAAGGAAAACCTAAGCACTGTATAAGGTTTGAGTTTAATTGGTCAGTGGGAACTAAGTAATTTTACAGAAACTTCTATTCATAGTAATAGTAATATAGTTGTTTGACCTCTGGACAGGAAAACCAATCACACACAAGCACTTTCAGTAAAGAAGCATTAATGAAAGTAACTATTGAAGGAACAGAAGTAGCTAGGACAGACAGACAGACAGACCAGCGTGATTACAATATCCCTTCCAATCTTGATGGGGAGGATAATAATTTCAATTGTTGTACGTACATCTCTAAACAGTAGTTTGCGTCACTGTCCATCCCCAGATTTGGACTACCTTAGATACTATTTGGTCAGTATTTGATGAGTTATACCTAGCAGAGTTAGGTACAGTGACATGCCCCGTTTGGGTCATGCTGTGAGATCCATGCACTGTGGAAGTCCCAGAACGAGTTTGTCTGTAAGCGGGCGTCAAGATATTTTAGTAAAGGGGTACAATGGCTGACTGTATGGCCACATATTCCCCTGTGGCTCTGTGCTAGTCAAGCCTAATAGTTAATGCATGTGAAATTGAATTCTCTCTTGTACAGGTAAATATTTTAATATAGATATGAACAAACGTGATATGATTTTAATATCATGCCTTATAGTTAATGCATATGAAATAAAATTCTCTCTCATATACGAAAGTATTTTAATATGAATATGAAAAATGTGATATTATTTTAATATCATGCCCAAAAGTTAATGCATGTGAATAAGAATTCTTTTTCATATAGGAAAATGTTTAAATATAAATATGAAAAAAGTGATATTATATTTTAGATGTGTTTTATAATGATATGATATATATTCTCATTTGCTTTTTAACCTCAAATTGTTCGTAATACTGATCCCGGATGACCTTCACTTCCACATTGTCGTCCTCTTCATCCTGAAGTCACACGATACTGTCACATGAAATATCACATGGTATGTACAAGATTTTTCTTTTTCAGTTTCCCAATTTGAACGATAAATTTTCACCTAAGATAATCTCAAAAACCCAAAAAGAGAAAGTAATAATTAACGTTTGAGGTGTAGCAAAGTCTATACAGTTTCTGTAAAGGGTAGAACATAAAAACCGAAGTGATTCAATGTAAAATGCCTTGCCTAACTTAGGACAAGTCTGGAATAGAACCATTGGCTGTGTTTATAGGAATTATGTTTTGCTATCGTTCAGGACCAGTAACCTAGTTTATGACTTGGCTCATAAACATTCTCACTTAACATTCTAGTCCAGAAAGACTTGCTACCATTCATCAATATTCCAACTTAGAACAACTGGCCTTCTGTAAGACAGGAACATTGCCTTTGCCATTGGCATAAAGTAAAATTGTATGACCATTGGTGTAGATAAAGAAAATTGGACTATTGGTAAAGGTTGGTGTAGATTAAGTCTTAAGAACATTGGCTGTGGTTAAACCAAAAAATCCTCTCGGCAACATATCTGTGATCACAATGCATAATAGAAGTCATTTGTAAAAAAAAGGACACTAGTTTTTACCAACAACCTGCAGGCTAGTTTGAGACCAGAACAAATGTTCAGAAGTTTGGTTTGTTGGAAAATTTAAAACAAATAACTAATATTCTACTGAAATAAGATTTTGTTTGTTTGTTTTCAAAATTTCAGAGCCGTTTTTTCTTGTGAGCAAAATAGAGTCCTGGTGAGCGCCCACATGCATGCACATTTCTTAGACAATACATATTTAAAAATTTGAAATAAAAGATGAAATTATAAAACAATATCTATGAATTAATTTGCAAAAACATATATAAATAAAATAAGAGTAGAATTGTTAGGACCTAATAATATAAGGGCTGAGTGCCTTAGCAGGCATTCATATATTAGGGCAGAAATTTTGCAAAAAAACACAAATCAGATTACAAATAGAAAATAGGAAATTCGAGAAATTGTAAAAATTAAAGTTATATATATAGCCGGAATTTTAGGGTGAAATATTGAAAAAAAAATATGTATATGACTTTGGAGAAGTAGGATGCATGTCATAACAAATATTTATAAAGTAGTAGCGAACAAACCGATAGACAGAAGTCCAAAGTATTGTAAAAAATAGGAACCATGGTAACCGTCACCATGGTGATTTGTAAGGCTTTACCTGATTGGTTGACGATGCCGGATCCTGTAGCGATAGAGGCAGGTTGTGATCAAATGACCCAAAAATAAATCTCAAAAGCAACAAAAGTAAACATGGACTAAGTTGTTCATGATAAGTGCTGACAAGTTGTAAAACTCTATTGATCGTGTTGGGAACATATTCCATTAGAAAAATAATATTATTAACTAAATACATATATTAGATAAATGTTGAATGAAACTGTAAGGTTGATACCATTTATCATCTTTGGGAAAGGCATTGCTCTAGAAACATTGAAAGCTAGCAGTGAAAACAAGGGAACCAAATGAGGAAACTGTAACTTAAAACCTGTTAAAAAATCATGGAGCATTCTGTTTTGCTTCTGATTGAAATTTGAAAAATGGCTGGTTCAACAAAGTTTATGATTTAATTGGGACAAAAAATAGACATTTCACTGTGGCAAGACTTCAAACGTCTGGAAACAGATTTAACTACCGCTACCAGACTGGCAAGTAGTGGTAAAATTCAGTATTGTCTGTAACCATAGGAACAGAATGGCATCTTCATAGTTTGCAGTGTCACTTTACCACATAATCTTGCACAAAAAAGTTATGTCAATTTTCTCACTAAAAGGGGAGAAATCATACTAGCTTTGTTATTGTAGGATTGATATATCATGCTTTTTGTTAGTCAAGTTCATTTTGAAGCTTTCATGAACTGTTAAACAGTCTCAGTCGCTGGAAAGCTTGCAGAATTAGTAAATAAGAACTGTTCATAATTATTTGATTTCTAGTTTATTGATATTTGCAATTAATAAACACATCAGTTTGGACTCCTTCCTTTTCTGACCCTATTCCTGAAGTGACCAAATACCTTTATAAGATCTTATGTTGGTCCAATGTTTTCAGCACAGAACTTTGATAACAAGCCTAACAGCATGTATAACTCGTACTTTATTGCACCTGATACTACATTTCTTTTTATATTTCTATGATTTCGTGAAATAATAACATTACTCAAAAGTCAATTTTTGGAGAGATATTTTGGGAATTAACATAAATTTCTTGAGCCTTTCTGGTAAGGGATTTATGAAATATTAGGATATGAAATTATGTTCTGCTAAAAGCATAATTGAAAAATAAGAGGATTTCATTTTATATTCTGATAACTGTAAATCAATGTTTCAACAGACCCTAATTTTTTAGTTTTTAACTTGGGGAGATTTGCTACTCTTCACCTGATACTTGTGATGTGTCTCTGAGTAATCTCCCCTAAGGATATATGCTACCTTGCAAGGTAAACCTATAATTTGTGTGAGAGTGATATCCCCTAAAACATTTTTTAATAAGAGGTAATTATCTGATCATTTAATGTATCCAATCTTTGAATATGTTTTACTATAGAGTGAAACTCTCTCTGAAAGGAGATTTAACTCCCAATTATATAGCTTACACCCTTAAGTGACAAACTAGTAAATACATAGTTTGCAAATTGCAGGTAACAAATTTTTAAGTGAAGAAAAAGCCATGAGTGTTAGGTTATTTGTTATAATGGTCTATGTGACTTCACCTGTACTAATCTTTGTTTTATCATATCCTTCAACAGATGGACAGATGTCTTTTTGTAATATACACTATGATTTCTAAATATATCAACCAAATTAAAAAAAGGCCATACATGATCAACTTTCAGAAGACAAAACATTAAAAAAAAATCACAGCCAGCCCACAATATCAAGTAAAGGTCGTAGGACAAGGTCATAATCATTACAGGATTACTATTGTGGAGATAAGCTGTGAGTTACCAATGATAAACAAAAAGCCAAACACAGAATATCTAGCACTTTAACATTGAAGCTATAGTATCCTTACATAGCACTTCATTAGATAGACACCACATCCCTATTAACATAGGAACAGCCACGTAGAATATCCCTTTTAACATAGGAACAGCCACGTAGAATATCCCTTTTTAACATTTAACACTTAGGTAGGACATCCCTTTGAGTTTGACGCTCCCAACCTTACCATACAAGGATGCTTTCCTAAATAACTGTTCTATCAATATCTCTCCTACAGACCCCAGCAGGCAGGGATGGGAACCCTCACCTCATAACATATCTCCTTTACTGACCCTTCATGGAAGGGATGGGATTATTCACCTAAATACCTGTTCTATCTAAGTCTCACCTAACCCAAAAAACGTGTCTATCATAGTCTCCCCTGCGAACCCTGAGGGCAGGGATAGAATACCTTACCATAAAACCTGTCCTATCCAGTTTCCCTTGCAGAATCCTGGGGGCAAGGATGGGATGATCATCTAAATATATATTCTATGCAAGTCTCTCCTATCAATCCCTGGGAGGGACAGGGATGGTAACCCCTACCTAAATACCTGTTCTATGTAAGTCTCCCCTACAGACTCCTGGAAGGAGCAGGGATGGGAACCCCTACCTAACTACCTGTTCTATGTTAGTCTCCCCTACCGACCCAGCGAGGCAGGGATGGGCACCCTACCTAAATACCTGTTCTATGTAAGTCTCCCCTACAGACCCCGGGGGCAGGAATGGGCACCCCTCCCTAAATACCTGTTCTACATGTATGTAAGTCTCCCCTACAAACCCCCTAGGGGCAGGGAGGGGAACCTCTACCTAAATACCTGTTTTATGTAAGTCACCCCTACAGAACCCCGGGGGTAGGGATGGGATATCTTACCATGATCAAAGTGTCTACAGAAGCAAAATATTTGCTCCACCAGTCCAAACTCTCAAGGTCAAGGTCATCCTCATCATCAGCTGAACTCTTCTTCCTTTTTTTGTTCTCTGCTGTTTTCTTTTCCTTCTTTTCTGCAGCCTGAACACCATGAAATGAGAATAAAAACAAGGTGAGCAGGGGCTCCCTTCAACCTTGAACAATGACCATCAAGATTTAATTAGCTGTAAAACTTTGTTACTGTACAATGGTAAATATAAAGTATATTAGTACACAGGTTCAGGAGATGTCATGTCAACAAAATATATTCTACGGATGGTCGGAAGGTCAGATGGAGACAATATTTGAGTAACAATTAATGTATACCCTTACCGTAGTGGTTGGTATAAAAACAAAAGGTCTAAACTAAGGCTTCAGGTCTTATGCGTCACAGGACAGAAATTCAATGTACAGCCTACATACAAGTATTTGTTGAAGACTGACGTGACCACAGATTTAGTTAGTCCTATTAACACCTTTTGTCTCTAAAATGAGAAAGTAGACTTACCAAGTCTATATTAACACGAGACGGCTCCTTGTGAACCAATGGCAGGCGTTCGTCAATCGTCACTGCAACATCATCTGCCTTCACAGACACGTGTCCTTCACTAATAATCTTGGGTGCATCTGGGTCCTTTCCTGTGAAATAACAGCAATGCATTGTGTTACAAAATCAGATTTCAAGTACATTACCCAATTGTTCCTATGATGATCAAATGAAACAATCTTATTCGACATTTTCTGGTAGATCAAGCTTAACAAAATCAGGATGGAAGTAATAAACCTCGTACACATCAACATATTAGTATGGTACTATATATATATGGAAACATAAAAGGCAAAAGTTTGACTGTGGTGATAGTATCTGGTATGCAGAATTTAATTAAAAAAGTGTTTTCCCTGTGTATTTAGGAAAATGCGGTCTTCTTTACTGCTAAGTTGGAAAAAAATGACAGCATTCTGAAATGTCAAAATCCTCCTTTATTTTATGTAGAATTTTCTGTGACCTTTGTTACAAAGAACCTATTATGAAAGTTAGAAAATGATGGAGAAGTTCATGTAACTAACAAAATGTTTTTAGAATCGAAAGAGACGAAATAGTAAAAGAAAAATAGAAAGATATGAAGAAAATGGAAATAAAATCATGAAAGAAAAAGTAATCATTCAAATTATTGCTTATGCATATTTTTATTGTTAATAATTAAAAATTAAAAGAATTTCAAAAGTTCATAATACATGAAAGTACATCAACATCTATACTTATCAGCTTTGATTATAAATGGAAAAGATTTTGATTATAAATGGAAAAGAAGTATATTATTATATATCACTGATATATCAGAGAAATACATATGGGATCATGCAGTTTATACAAGTATAATCTTGATTTAAAAATGTATCATGAAAGCTACAACAAGACGAAGCATATCAAACTAATTTTGCATCATTTTAATAAATATAAATCTATGTGGGAGTGAAGAGTCTCTATGCAGAATCTAAACTATCTGACTATTTCCTAAAACCTCTAGAAGAAACTACTTAGCTTAAGCTTTGAGACATTCTCTAAACTATATCATACCTGTAATGCTATTGCTAAATTCTATAACAGCTGGAGTCTAAACCATTATGAGTATTTAATCCTGGTCACGGCACCAAATCTGACCGCCAAACTTACAAATTATCTATTAAATATTATCTATCGTTATTTTTGATGTAGTTTAAAGCACGCTAATGGAGTATGTCCCCTGACCTACAGTTTTCTTCTGGATAGTGATATAACAATTTCACGTTGAATGACAACATCAGCCAATTAATTTTGTATTCATACTTTACAATCTCTTATACAAATCATGTTTTAAACTTCTCATTTGCTTAACACCAAAACAGGTGAAATCTGTAAGAAGGGAATCTCATAATTATATTTACAATGACTATCCCATAAGATATAATCAATGATGATTTTTGATCATATCCATAATTCGAACGTCTGTTTTTTTCACATCAATCATATTTTTTTCAAGGAAAACTAACTTTCTCATGCATGCTTTCTATTTCTGATCAGAATTTTTTTAATGCAAGATGCGATACCCTATATTTTATCCACAATAAGCCTGTTATCAGCCCACACATATAATATAATATTGTTATCAGCCCACGCATATAATATAATATTGTTATCAGCCCACGCATATAATATAATATTGTTATCAGCCCACGCATATAATATAATATTGTTATCAGCCCACACATATAATATAATATTGTTATCAGCCCACACATATAATATAATATTGTTATCAGCCCACACATATAATTAATATTGTTATCAGCCCACGCATATAATATAATATTGTTATCAGCCCACACATATGATATAATATTGTTAAGTAGAAATGCTTCCAAATGCTGTCTTATTGTCTTGCAATAAACCACCCATATATACCTTCAGTCAGAATTTATGTGTTAGCTCCCTGGCCTTGTTGTAGGATATACATGGTAATAATGCTGGGGTGACACCATGCCATGTGATATTATATATTTCATAATGAAACTATAAAAAAAAAATCCATGGGCTCAGATTAATGAAACCCATAGCAGTTATAGGATAAAATATATATACATGTATATGTTAGATCAAGCAATACTGTAGCTATTAAGTATGAAATTACAAAGATTTGGATCAAAAAAGTACTACATGTACAGCATCCAGTCAGGGGTTTGTATAAATATTATTTGGGAAGAAATGATGGTCTGTCTTTCCTAACCAATTTCTGGGAACCACTGATTGATGCATTAAGCCCAGTATTGGAAGGGGAGACAGACCATGGGTCACTATTGTGTCAAGTATGTATGGCCATGCAAGTCCTACCTGAGACAGGACCTTCGTTCTCTATAGTAAAAACGGAGACATTGTTAGCACCTGCCTTACCCAAAACAGTCACAGTCCAAAGCTCAAGGTTCTGTAGGTATTGCAGTACAAGGTCAAAGGGGGGAGGGGTATTCAGTATTGTAATAGGGCACTCTATGCAGCAAAATATTTAAAAGGAGTACTAGAGGCTCCTCAAACAATTTAAACATTTTCTTCAGCAACTGCTGATGTCGAATCCACTGTTCTGAAACTAAAGTGATGAACGGTAAGATACAGGAGAATTTGTCAAGTGGTTTGTCCAATGCCATCTTAAACTTTTTCAGTCACAACACAGGTTCTAAGTAAGGCCCCACTTGAATGGTTCATTGAGAGCATTGGACCAATCGGAAACTTGCATTCATACTATGCTTGGTGTTTTCATAAATTCTCACCAGTGCTTGTTAAAATAGTACCCCTATAAGGCCCGTCTTCAACAGCTGTTGTACCATGTGATGAACCGAAAAATACCACAATACAACTACACCATGTATACTGTTCCAACCCCTACCATCAGGGCCATACAAATGAATTATCAGGGTCAGAGAAACCGATTCACCACCTGAGGAATACACCGTCAGGACCCACCAATACAAACATTGTCATTCAGTGTCTCAAATTGTGGAACAGTTCTTCATTTCATATTACGTTTTAAGTAGATAATATTATAAACACAAGAAGGACCATAGTAATGGCTATATCTGAATTGTATATAGAACAAATAGTGTAAAAATAACATTCTGTATAAAACTACAGATAAATAAAATCTGTTCTCTTTACTGATGTGACAAATATTTATCATAAGATAAGACTTATTGCCCTAATGGGAAAAGAAGCAAATCAAATCTTGACATACAGATACCACAATCTTTTGATGAGTGAAAGCAACACCTTTCCATATATACTCATATAGAGAACATTGTCAGGATTTAGAAATAGTTACAAAGACCACAACTTTGTGCAACTCATATAAACAACAATCTTATGATAAACTCACAAAAATACTTATAGAGATTTCACAAGTTTAATACCCATTCAACGTCATTTTTGCCATTTATTACAGCAGAATGTAAATGTTTCCTTTTCGGCAAGCCTTTTCTTTTTTATATTGTATACTCTGACACTCCTATATATTGTCTGGGACAATGAAATGTTTGAAATCTTTAAAAAAAAAACATCCTTTATTTGTGAAGATGAGGTTTGTACACTTTGTGATTATAGACAGTGACAAGCTTGTTGTATAACTACACCAATCTGATCAGTTGTCTGATACAGCGTATGGCAGCTAAGAACCATTAACAACAGTTGCCTGATACAGCGTATTGAAGCTAAGAACCATTAACAACAGTTGTCTGATACAGCATATTGAAGCTAAGAACCATTAACAACATTGTCTCTTTTCTCTATCAATAACGTTATAGTGTGAGATTAATCATACAAACAGACTCAGGGTTCAGTATAAGTTTGGGAGCTGTAATTAGGCCCCTTCTCATCAATTTTCCTGATTAGTTTTCCCAAAAAAGTGATTTGTGCATATTTTTTTATTTCCAAATTTTCATAAGGAACAAACCACTATGAAACAGCAGCAGAAAAATTACTGCGGAATGAACAGACTCTTTTACAATGTAGGTATTGTAATTAATAAAAAAAATATGCATATAATTACTTAATATAGCTATAACACTCTTGAATATGACAAATTATCTCCTTTTTTTGTTATCAAAGGGCGATGACTTATAGGATTATTTTTTTAATGAAAATCTTGTTGATGGTTCTGAACTCATGTTAGTAGCTTTCTTCCTCCTTGTGGTTACAGTGTTATTTTTTACACTTACTTCAATGCCGTGATTATGTGAGCTTTTATACCCGATACTGGTTAGACATGTACATTTAAAGCCAACTGACTAGGTATATTCTGAAGCTCAACTTACCCTTTGTTTCATCTTTGGTCAAAATTATTTATATACAAAATACAAAAATGTCAAGAAATAGTAAGTGACGATTAAATAACCAAAACCTTTATCGTAAGCTTTCATGAATACAGAAGAAGTTGGTAATTGAAAGAACAAAGGGAATTTGAGTTAGGTCCTTGGATGTGAAAGTAAACTGGTAGTGAAAAGAAAGTTATGATACCACATGTGAAAAGATGAGTTATGACCCTTATGTGATGACAGGTATGTAGCTTGGTTGTTACAAAAATAAGATTCAGGTCAATTTTATTATGTAAGAAAGACAACAGTTACACACACAACTAAAAGATAGTTAAACACAATGTGAAAAAATGTGTTATGAATTATTCTAACAAAACAAGAGTAATTCCCCCTGAAATTTGACTTAAGATAAGGTAAGAATAATAGGTCATTAAAGTGAGAGTTAGGTCCCCTGTGGAATGATACGCTTGTCTCTTGTGAGGTGACTTATATCCTCTGTAAGAATAAAGCTATGTCACCAGTGAGATGAGAGTTATTCCCCTTGTTAGATGAGTGATGTCCCTTGTTATGTGAGTGATGTCCCTTACCTGGAAACAGCTTGGAGATGATGGACTTGGCTTTCTTGGTTGTGGGTACATACATAAACTTGTGTAGGGAGTTGATGACGTGGGTGCCAACTAGGACGTAGCGCCCAAAATTCCGACAGTCCACACAGCGAATCGTGATCGGAGGACAATACAACTCATTTTCTGGCAACTCCTGTAGGAAAAATCCATGGTTTACAGTCATTTTACTGAACAGTTTAATTCCATTGTTGAATCACTTTCTGAATATTTTTCAATACAGTCAGAAGTTTAATGGTCAGATCAAATTCTTTCGCAAATAAAAACCTGGAACAAAAAGTTTATCTCTCCATAAAACAGAAATGAACACTTTAAAAGTGCCTTTATCATCAGTGTATCAGCATCAGGATAACAGAGTCCTGTTGTGTAGAAAATGAATCTCTCAATGTGACTGACATTCCTAATAGCTTTACATGTCTCATTTTCAGAAAACAATAATGAAATCAACTTTCCAAAAACTCTTTATGGTTAATCTAATTTTTACAAAAAAGAAACAGTGCATTTTCCCACTATGACAGCAACAGAAGTATATGTGTAGCTTTGTTATATTTGGCCACCTTCAGCCTTTGAACTACCATTTTCATGCAAATTTATCGTGGAAAACCTGATCCTCCATCTTGACATATTCTCACCTTGTTACTTTATGTATATAACTTACCACATCAAAGAACTTGACAGGGACATTGAAGTTAGGGTTTTTCTTGCATGTCTGTATGATGGAAGACTGTAGGACCTGTCCTGCACACTCAACGTCAATACGAGGCTTGTCGACGGAGGTCAGCTGGACACGCTTTAGGTCACGCACACCCCAGAACAGTATCTACACAACCAAACCACTGTTAGCATCATGCTTTCATTATGTAATGGGAGAGGCTTAATATAACTTCTTTAAGGTCACAGGACATGGTGTGGACTTTTAGTTGAAATCTTTCATACCAGAGACTATCTGTATAACTTTCTATGAACCATTCACTATCATTATGTAATGGGAGAGGCTTAATATAACTTCTTTAAGGTCACAGGACATGGTGTGGACTTTTAGTTGAAATCTTTCATACCAGAGACTATCTGTATAACTTTCTATGAACCATTCACTATCATTATGTAATGGGAGAGGCTTAATATAACTTCTTTAAGGTCACAGGACATGGTGTGGACTTTTAGTTGAAATCTTTCATACCAGAGACTATCTGTATAACTTTCTATGAACCATTCACTATCATTATGTAATGGGAGAGGCTTAATATAACTTCTTTAAGGTCACAGGACATGGTGTGGACTTTTAGTTGAAATCTTTCATACCAGAGACTATCTGTATAACTTTCTATGAACCATTCACTATCATTATGTAATGGGAGAGGCTTAATATAACTTCTTTAAGGTCACAGGACATGGTGTGGACTTTTAGTTGAAATCTTTCATACCAGAGACTATCTGTATAACTTTCTATGAACCATTCACTATCATTATGTAATGGGAGAGGCTTAATATAACTTCTTTAAGGTCACAGGACATGGTGTGGACTTTTAGTTGAAATCTTTCATACCAGAGACTATCTGTATAACTTTCTATGAACCATTCACTATCATTATGTAATGGGAGAGGCTTAATATAACTTCTTTAAGGTCACAGGACATGGTGTGGACTTTTAGTTGAAATCTTTTATACCAGAGACTATCTGTATAACTTTCTATGAACCATTCACTATCAAACACCTCATGATATAAAGGTTTGATCTTCAAGATGATTGTGGCATGTTTTATCAAGTAGAGTGAAATCTGTCTAATCTGACCCCTGAGTATTTTAACATCCAGTGAAATCTAACCTAATGATGTACACTATTGTAACAAATAAAACCTTTGTGTTTTGACATCCTTGTTAAATATGACCAGTGTTATGTCCCACAGAGTGTCAGATTAGACAGGTTTTACCATAACTAAATTTTGTACTAATGTTCTTACTATCCGACTTTCTTTGACCATACTGCCCCAGCCTTACCTCTATGCGATGTTTGCTCTGCCCCAGCCTTACCTCTATGCGATGTTTGCTCTGCCCCAGCCTTACCTCTATGCGATGTTTGTTCTGCCCCAGCCTTACCTCTATGCGATGTTTGCTCTGCCTGCAGCCTTACCTCTATGCGATGTTTGCTCTGCCCCAGCCTTACCTCTATGCGATGTTTGCTGAGAACTGGCCGAATACCCTTTGGTACGGGCATAATGGGCCCACGATCTTTGTCAGAGGCAGCTGGAAGTTGAAGGGGAGGTAAGTCCTGCCCAGACATGTCGCCAAACGCTGCCAACTGATGGAGGAATTACAATAGAGATCATTATAGGAAATAAAACCATCAATGTCTGCCATATTACAACCATTATCTTTACAGCTCATGCTTCCTTTGTCCATTTATGTTGAATTCTTGGAAACATTGTGAAATATAAGGATTTTTTATTTGGTGATCTAAAGTAAGTGTTTACTCTTACAATTGAATGCAAACTAATAACATTTCAGACATAAATCGTAATAAAACTGTTTCCTATATGAATTTTCAAGTCAAAGAAATAAAAGGTGAAAGAATTAAAAGTGTATGCAAAGCATACAAAAAAAAATCAAAGTGTTGCTGTAATTATCCAAATAATGGCACCCTACTCTACCACCCTGGCATTTCTCTCTCTGTATAGGCAAAACTCCATACAAATATATTGATCATGTGACTTTTAATATTTTTCTAAGTTGTTTAACAGGTGGATCCAGGATGTAACACCTAGAATTACAATGACCTTGACACTCTGAAACATGACCTCATTCAAGGTTTTTTCATACTTGACCAAACAATTTGATCAAAATTTGTTGGGAAATGTAGTTGTTTGAGTGATAATAAAGATTTTCTAAAATCTTAATATCGGTGACCTTGACCTTGACCTTCTGAAACACAGGCTTGTTTAGGGTACTCCCATACTAGGCAAATTTCGTTTTATCAAAATCTGTCATAAAAATAAAGTTGCTTGACAAATGACAACAGGTGAAATATATAGAGAAGCATTTGAAGATACGAACGGACGGCTATATCACCTCCACAACCTCATCTTGACAGGATAAGCCATAAAACAAATTCATACCTTATCTTTCTTATTTACTTTGAATTATTCTTATTTATAAATTTAATCTTTTTAAATGTTATTTACCTCTTGATTCCTCCTAGCTCTAGCATATACAAATGTATACAAATTACATATGTAACTTTCTATCCAAATAACTACTTATTGTATGATTTAAAGCTCCATCATGAGAGGGATACAAATCCTACTCAAGGCACCACTTGTTTAAAGAGACCACTTGTGTTAGGAGACCACTTTTAAAGGGGGGGGGTTACTACCAAACTAAATACCAATCAGCATCACTCTCTAATCGGCACCTTCATTTGGATGATTACAGCATCAGACATACAAAAATTACAGAAAGAAAGAAAACACAAAATAATGTTCCATAGGTATGCTGAATCTGAGACTGACAAGATCCGTTGCATGCGTGAAAACATTGTGATCACTATCGGCACACGGTGCACTATCAATCAATTTACAATAAAATCAAAAATTACAAAGCTCCTTTAGCAAATAATTAAAAAGAAGATGATGAAAATATCACAAAAAAATGTACATTGGTAATTCTTTTCTCACTATTTTTCTCAGCATTGATTACATCTTTTAGTAAAAAGCCCATATCCTGATAGACTTGCATATACATTTTTGAAGTTTTTATCTTTTCTTTGCATCCCCAAATTAATTCTGCAATAAGCCATGGGGCCAATATAAAACGCAGGATCCAAAGTTTCGAATGAGCTTATTAAAGGGACAAAGGTTATATGAATGTGAGTTTGAGGCCCCAGAACCGGCCAAGTGGACTACTTGGTTTAAACAATATTTTATTTCATACTTCATATATAATAAGTACAAAGGTTGATAGGAATATTAAGATCTGGAAACAAAATTTTAAATCTTAGACAAAGCCATTAGAGTGGATTAACCACCAGACATGGGCTTATTTCTGGATAATTTTGTACACATAGACAACAAAATACAGATCAATCTAATGACGATGGGTTCTCACCAACTTTCAGCTAATCTACTTATTTAGTATTGTTATTTTTCTAGCATTACCCAACATAGAAGTTCTGAACTATCCATGGATTCCACCAGAATAACGAAAAATAGTTTTTGATTAAATTTGTTCTCACGACAAATCCTGAAAACACAGCTGTGATAATCTATAAATATCAATTCTACAACTACATGACATTAAAACCAAGTCTTTAGTAAACAAACCAGAAGTCGTTTTTGTGATTTCATTAAAGGAACCAAAACTTATATTCACTGATGATATGAGTTGTATTTTGTCCACAGTATTAGAGTTGTCTGTTTATCACCAAACTAAACTGTATTTTTTCAAATTGAAGTTGTAATTGTAAACAAGTTGTAATTGTAAGCAAGTTGTAATTGTAAACAAGTTGTAATTGTAAACAAGTTGAAATTTGTTTGGTCAGGTATTAGACATTAATTTTTCAAACTGTATGTAAAAACACAAACAACTATACAAGGACATCAGTACTACCGAGAGACATTACTAAAATGTTTTACCAAATAATTTGGTATTTTACTTGGCAAGAACATTTCCAGTAATATATTTAAGGAATAGTGCAAGGTGAAGAAATATTTCCTATTCTATGGTTTTCTGGAAACAGATCTTCTTCCTTAGGGACTCGCTTCCTGGACAGGTACTTCTCATTACACCACAAGTCCCAGCCACACCAAAAAGCTCCTGTCACACAACAAGTCCCTAGCACACCAGAAGTCCCTGACACACCACAGGTCCCTACCACACCAAAAATCTCCTGCCACACCACAAGTCCCTAGCATACCAGAAGTCCCTGACACACCACAAGTCCTTGCCACTTAAAACGTCACTGCCACAACACAAATCTCCTGCCACACGACAGGTCCTTACCACACCACAAGTCCCTGCCACACAACAAGTCCCTTTCACATCACATGTCCCTACCACACCCTAAGTCCCTGCAAGATCACATGTCCTGGCCACACCACATGTCCCTGCCACATCACAAGTCCTTGCAACACCACATGTCATTGCCACACGACAAGTCTTTGGCACACAGAAAGGCCCTGCCACACCACAAGTCCCTGTCACAGAGAAAGTTCCCTCCACATCACAGTCCCTGCCACACCACAAGTTCCTGCCACACCACAAGTTCCTTCCACACCACAAGTCCCTACCACACCACAAGTCCCTGCCACAGAGAAAGTTCCTACCACACCACATGTCCCTACCACACCTCAAGTTCCTGCCACACCACAGTCCCTGCCACACCACAAGTTCCTACCACACCACAAGACCCTGTCACAGAGAAAGTTCCTACCACACCACATGTCCCTACCACACCACAAGTTCCTACCATTCCACAAGTCCCTGTCACAGAGAAAGTTCCTACCACACAACAAGTTCCTACCACACCACATGTCCCTACCACACCTCAAGTTCCTGCCACACCACAGTCCCTGCCACACCACAAGTTCCTACCACACCACAGGTCCCTGTCACAGAGAAAGTTCCTACCACACCACATGTCCCTACCACACCTCAAGTTCCTGCCACACCACAGTCCCTGCCACACCACAAGTTCCTACCACACCACAAGTCCCTACCACACCACATGTCCCTACCACACCACAAGTTCCTACCACACCACATGTCCCTACCACACCACAAGTTCCTACCATACCACAAGTCCCTGTCACAGAGAAAGTTCCTACCACACCACAAGTTCCTACCACACCACAAGTCCCTACCACACCACAAGTTCCTTCTCTATCACAACTCACTGCCAAAATGAATGTTCTTGCCACCCAACATGTACCTCCATCACCACATATGTACCTCCATCACCACACATGTACCTCCATCACCACACATGTACCTCAATCACCACACATGTACCTCCATCACCACACATGTACCTCCATCACCACACATGTACTTCCCTAAATAGCATATTTGTCTCTATATAATCACTCAAGAAAATTTTGTTCCACCAACATGTCATTTTTTATGAAATCCCAATTTTTTCAATATATTTTTAATATATTTTTAATATGATTTCCAATCATGGATATCACTGGTCAAGTTACCAGGTATACCAGTCCACTTTACTTACTGTTGAATACCAGATTATCATATAAATCAATACTATCATGCAAGTAACAAAAATACAAGATCATTCAATTTGCAGAAACCAAAAGGTATATACAGATTAGTAAGCAGCAGATAAGAAAATCGTAGAACTAATTACGAAGCACAAACAGCCAAGATTAAAAAAAGTACAAAATGAAACATTTAGCAAAAATATTGGAGGAAAAGTAGTAGGCTTATGATACCAGCTTAATTTTCCTGGCATGAGGCGGAGTGAGATGAGCCTCGCGAAGGTCTGCCTCCTCGAAGGGGAACTACAACGGGGATAACACGTTACTACACACAGGGAGGAAAGCCACGCCCCTTACACGGAGCGCACACACAGCAACACACATATATATTTATAAAGCGTTTTACAATGCAAACATAATATTTGATATCAACTGTATCTATACGTAATATTGGATTTATTCTGTGCCTAGTTAGTTACACATATTATATAGAATATATTCTGTGCCTATTTACAAAAGCAATATTGGATATATTTTGTGCCCTTGTACATGACAACTATTAGCTTATTTCTGCAGCAAATATATATTATTTTCTAAAAAGGAAGTGCTCCTCCATAATCTATAATACACTTTGAAAAGTCTCCAAAGGGAAACATACCTTTTTTTCCAAATTTGCAGATTTATTTGTAAAGAGAATTTTCTCTATGGGATTCTATTATATTCTGTCTAACTTACAGCTATGCTAGAAAAAAAGCTGTACATCTCTGAGACTGACTCGGGCCTTTTTGTTAGCTGTTCTTCATCAATGTCACTTCTTCAAATTATGTATATATATCCTACCCTATATATAGGTCTCATAAGTAATAACGGTAGGATCCAATATGGGCAATGGATCCGAACATATCTTTGTTCGATGTGTATAACTTAAATAGATATATGACTATATATATATAGCATTATACTTCTATCAATTTTTGACAGATTTTAATCAATTTTAGTTTTCAAATTTTGACAGATTTCAACATATCCTAGTTTCAAATTTCCATCTAAGACAGCACTGTCATTTAATCTGAAGATTTGCTATTATCAGATCCACAGGAATATAAAAGCATGTCATTATTAACGGGTGGAGGTACCACACAGCACCTTATCTAAACCTAATGAGAGCTCTCCTATGAGTTCCATTTTATCACTGTTCTGAGACTAAGTTTTTCATGAATCAAATAACACATTCATAACTTCGGAAATGGTTTTCAAATGTATGTGATGGAAGCAAATACTTAAAATTTGTCTTGTCTCAATGATCAGGAAAACTGTGCACTAAATTATATATCAGACAGACGACGTGAAGTCTCCCTTCTTAACATCAATCTGATTGGGTGAAGTCTCCCTTCTTAACATCAATCTGATTTGGTGAAGTCTCCTTTCTTAACATCAATCTGATTGTCTCTTTTAAGTCTTCTAATAATTAGTTATAACCTACATTCTGTTGTTATCTTGCACTTTCTGTCTGGACAAGAGATAGTAAATATGTCTCAAAATACAATAAGAAAGGACCTGCCAAGGATTACTGCACTGTTGCAGTTGTCATAATTTCAGGTTACAAATTAAACTGTTCTGTGGTAGAACTTGTACAGGATTCTAAGCCAACAACATAGGTCAACACAATAATGAATCAGGCATCAGCCATATGCACATTTAATACCTTCTGACAAAATTCCATAAGTTTAGTTGATTTTTTTTAAACTGTTGTGATAGGGGAGTAGAATGCAATTTCCTTATAATTTTAAAGAATTATATACCCAGAATACCCAATGACCTTTTAAACATTACTTTGGAATATTCAATGAAATAAACAATATTTAATAAACATAAAATGATGTTTCAGAAAACCTGGAACATATTCAGTGACCTTTTAAATGTTCAGATTTCAAAACAAGAGGCCCAAGGGCCTTAGCGGTCACCTGAGTTATATCATAGGTACTGGTAGCTTTATTTTATTGTTTAGATGTGATGTGGAAATCAGCATGTAAACTAAGTGAAATACAATACTTGTCATGTCATCAAAGGATAAGAATTTTAAAATATTTGTAAATGTTCCCTTTGGGGCCCCGCTCTAACCCCTGGGGATTGGGCAGGAATTTTAAGTTGACAATGTGATACCGTCATCCACCAAAGATGATTCTGACCAAGTAAAAATAATTTCCAACAGAAATTGTCAAAATATACCCAAAAGTGTTGTTTCCCTATATAAACTAAAGTAAACTTTACCTCCTCCCCAAGGGAGAACGGATAGCTCGGGGGTCCTGAAATTTACAATTTAAATAAAGCCCCTGATGATCTTTCCATCCATGCAGAGAAAATGACTGTAATACCTCTGAGTCTGGAGAAGAAGATTTTTGAAATATTGGTTAATTTTCCCTTTTGGGCCCCGCCCTGGCCCCTAGGGTTGGGGTAGGAATCCCAATTTTACAATTTAAAACCATCTTTCTCCTCCGAGGATAATTCTCACCAAGGAAAAAATAATTTCCAACAGAAAATTGTCAAAATATACCCAAAAGTGTTGTTTCCCTATATAAACTATAGTAAACTTTACCCCCTCCCCAAGGGAGAACGGATAGCTCGGGGGTCCTGAAATTTACAATTTAAATAAAGCCCCTGATGATCTTTCCATCCATGCAGAGAAAATGACTGTAATACCTCTGAGTCTGGGGAAGAAGATTTTTGAAATATTGGTTTGGTAGCCTCATCTACCAAGGATGATTCTGACCAAGTTTGAAAAAAATCCATCCACTGGTTCTTGAGAAGAAGTTGATAATGTAAAAAGTTTACGCACGACAGACGACGGACGTCGACGGACGTCGACGGACGTCGACGCGTCGTCGACGGACGGAAAGTGATTGGAATAGGTCACTTGAGCAAAGCTCAGGTGACCAAAAAATGCAGTTACCTTTAAGAATATTCTGAGTTTGAAAATATTAAGTGACCTTTAAAAATATTCAGTGACCTTCAAAACATTAAGTGACCTCAAGCACTACATGTGATTGTACATGAATAACACATTCACATATCTTGGTACACATGCACTTAAATCTTGACCACATGTTACCAGATCTGACTACACCACAACAACTAGAGGTCATACATACCTAAAACGGTCAAATATTTAGGCAATGTGAAGTTTTTCGAGCAAAGAATGCACATTCTAAATATCAAGGACAAAGACTGGACGTGCTCATAATACAGGCAAGGGAGATAATTTCATATAAGGGAGACAATTACACCATCTGAGTTTTGATTAATTTTGCGTACATTATGATAATTGGTTAAGCATCATGACAAAGTGGAAATTTTTGAATGTTTTTCATTGATTCAGTTTAAAAAAACACCCACTTACTTATTAGTAAAACAATAAATAAATTCAAGAATTTAATTATCTTACAAAAAGTTCCACTTTTGATTTTTATATACTGTGATTTTAGATATGGGGAATGCTTGTACTTACAGTCTGATTTTATAGAACGGAAACATAACAAAGATCAGGCATAACAATCTTACAGCGATGTAACTGTACTTTCATGATAAGGTCAAAGTATCGTAAATCACCCAGTAAATACACACCTGCTGATTTATTTGAAACCACAATCTAGATCTTAGCCTTGCCATTATCAAGAAAATACTTTATCCAAAATATATTTGCATTCTGATAAGTACAGAAAAAATATTTTCCTGAGTCAAATGACATCTTACCTAGAACATCATCAGACATATAATATCACGACAGAAGCTGTGTGGCATTTAACAAAATGTTCGGAGGGTACCATAGCAAATCCATGCTAGACCACGAAAGCAGATAGAATAGAAAAGGATGTTAGAGAATTGCAGATGAAATAGCAAAGAATGCTACAATAAGCATACAGAGTAGGAAAGAATGCTAGACCATAGCATATGACATCGAAATGATTGCAAAACCACAGCAGAAAAAAAAATAAAGAAATCTAGACCATATCAGACATAAAAGCACAGAGAGTTAGACCATAACACATGAAATAGCAAGGAATGCTAGACCATAACACATGAAATAGAAAGGAATGCCAGACCATAACACATGAAATAGCAAGGAATGCTAGACCATAACATATGAAATAGCAAGGACTGCTAGACCATAACACATGAAATAACAAGGACTGCAAGACCATAACACATGAAATAGCAAGGAATGCTAGACCATAACATATGACATAGAAATGATTGCCAAACCACAGCAGAAAGAAAAATAAAGAAATCTAGACCATATCAGACATAAAAGCACAGAGAGTTAGACCATAACACATGAAATAGCAAGGAATGCTAGACAATAACACATGAAATAGCAAGGAATGCTAGACAATAACACATGAAATAGCAAGGAATGCTAGACCCAAAAACATGAAATAGTAAGGAATGCTAGACAATAACACATGAAATAGCAAGGAATGCTAGACAATAACACATGAAATAGCAAGGAATGCTAGACCATAAATCATGAAATAGAAAGGAATGCTAGACCATAAAATAGCAAGGAATGCTAGACCATAACACATAAAATAGCAAGGAATGCTAGACCATAAAACATGAAATAGCAAGGAATGCCAGACCATAACACATGAAATAGCAAGGAATGCCAGACCATAACACATAAAATAGCAAGAAATGCCAGACCATGACACATGAAATAAGCAAGAACAATAACACATGAAATAGCAAAAAGCAAGGAATGCCAGACCATAACACATGAAATAGCAAGGAATGCTTGACCATAACTCATGAAATAGCAAGGAATGCTAGACCATAAAACATGAAATAGCAAGGAATGTCAGACCATAACACATGAAATAGCAAGGAATGCTTGACCATAACACATGAAATAGCAAGGAATGCTAGACCATAAAACATGAAATAGCAAGGAATACTAGACCATAACACATGACATAGCAAGGAAAGCTAGACCATAAATCATAAAATAGAAATGAATGCTAGACCATAAAATAGCAAGGAATGCTAGACCATAACACATGAAATAGCAAGGAAAGCTAGACCATAAATCATAAAATAGAAAGGAATGCTAGACCATAAAATAGCAAGGAATGCTAGACCATAACACATGAAATAGCAAGGAATGCTAGACCATGAAACATGAAATAGCACGGAATGCTGGACCATAAAACATGAAATAGCACGGAATGCCAGACCATAACACATGAAATAGCAAGGAATGCTAGATCATAACACATGAAATAGCAAGGAATGCCAAACCATAACACATGAAATAGCACGGAATGCTAGACCATAAAACATGAAATAGCAAGGAATGCCAGACCATAACACATGAAATAGCAAGGAATGCTAGACCCAAAAACATGAAATAGTAAGGAATGCTAGACAATAACACATGAAATAGCAAGGAATGCTAGACCCAAAAACATGAAATAGTAAGGAATGCTAGACAATAACACATGAAATAGCAAGGAATGCTAGGCCATAAAACATGAAATAGCAAGGAATGCCGGACCATAACACATGAAATAGCAAGGAATGCTTGACCATAACACATGAAATAGCAAGGAATGCCAGACCATAACACATGAAACAACAAGGACTGCCAGACCATAACATATGAAATAGCAAGGAATGCTAGACCATAACATATGAAATAGCAAGGAATGCCAGACCATAAAACATGAAATAACATGGACTGCCAGACCATAACATATGAACTAGCAAGGAATGCTAGACCATAAAACATGAAATAGCATGGAATGCTAGACCATAACACATGAAATAGCAAGGAATGCCAGACCATAAAACATGAAATAACAAGGACTGCCAGACCATAACATATGAAATAGCAAGGACTGCCAGACCATAACACATGAAATAGAAAGGAATGCCAGACCATAACACATGAAATAGCAAGGAATGCTTGACCATAACACATGAAATAGCAAGGAATGCCAGACCATAAAACATGAAATAGCAAGGAATGCCAGACCATAACACATGAAATAGCAAGGAATACCAGACCATAACACCTGAAATAGCAAGGAATGCTAGACCATAACACATGAAATAACAAGGACTGCCAGACCATAACATATGAAATAGCAAGGACTGCTAGACCATAACACATGAAATAGCAAGGAATGCCAGACCATAACACATGAAATAGCAAGGAATGCTAGACCATAACACATGAAATAGCAAGGAATGCCAGACCATAAAAGATAGAATGAAGAATGCAAGACCACAGCATATGAAATGGCAAGTATTACTAGACCATAAGGGATAGAATAATAAGGAATGCTAGACCATACCAGACATAAAAGCTCAGAAAGTTAGGTCATTTTATACGAAAAATAGCAACAAATACTCAATCATAGCAGATATAAACAACAAAGAGTGCTAGACTGTAGCATATAGAATCATAAAGAATGCTAAATCATGTCATAGGAAACAACAAAGAATGCTGGACTGTAGCATATAAAATAGCAATGAAAAAAAGACCATAGCAGATATCAAAGCCAAGATAGCTATACCTTAATAGCAATAGCAAAAATAGCAAGTAACTTATATATCATAAAGGTCAAACAGCAAAGGAATGATGGAACAAAAATAAAGAATAATATACCAAAGATGGCTACAACATAGCAGATAAAAAACAGACCGACAATAATGAAAAGGAAATTCAGGCTGAGCAAATTTCACATGAATTGATCAACACCAAGGCCAAATTTTCTTCATTGACAAAACTTTTTAAACTATGAAATTAACTTCAAAACTTGGATAGTTACCCCTATAAAACAATGCCACAGAATTCCTATTGTGCCAACATTTTAACACACAACTTCTGTTATGTTAAAGTAACCCCACAAATACGAAAAGAAGTGTTTGCAAAGGAGATCACTTCATATAAGGGAGATAATTTGATACAATTATGATTTTATGTATGGAATAACAGTTGTGACCAAGATCATTATCAGACTTGGCTCTAGACCAAAAATCTATTGATCTAAAAACACCATATATGGTAAATTAACTTTATGATGTAATTATAGGTCTACATTAATCATGGAACTATCATTTTTCTCGTTGAAATGAGAACCAGTCAGCCATTTATGGCTCGGGCATGCAATTTTTAAAACAGAGTCGAACCAAACTGCAAACCACCTTGCAAGCAAGCACTGTAATATATAGAAGTTTGGGCACGTCACTCCATACATGCTGATCTATAGCTTAAGGATGCTGAAGAAAACCTTGGCTTTTCCATGATAAAGTTCTACTTCTGGTTGCAAATAAATTATTTCTACTCATATCCTTATTTATTACTCTTTTAATATCATGCTGGAAAAAACAACTGATAATTTTGCTAAACAACATTGAAATGCCTTCATGTATAACTCAGTCATTCCTAAAGTGCAGTAATCTGATTGGTTACCTGTAGGAGTTCAAAGGTTGCCAGCAGTTCCCCGGCGCGGTCTGGTCCTCTGCGGATGTCCCACCATTCCAGGCGTGGAGGGAATTTAGGCATTTCATATTTTTCATTGCTTTTCTTCACCAACGGCTTTGTGATTGACCGTCCGATAAACTCAGACTTGCCCTACGTGCAAAAGAAATTAAACTTCACATAAAACAATTCTATAATCATTACACATTCAATAGCTTAACACTGTTCTCAAGGTTGCATGACATTTTTTTTGAAGTCTTGAAATTTGCATTATATCTGTTAACCACTTGTATTTTGTGTTACCTGAGAGTGTAACAATTAACACTGAATCAATCTCATCGTTAAAAGGCCATCGTAGATTGTGTACAGAATGATGCTCTTATAAATATATAACAAGAATTAACTATAACAATCTCCAGTATTAAAGGATATAAACATTCATGGTTTTCGTGGAGGCTTTGGAACCATGAAAACAATGAATTTAATTGATATACTTGACTACTGTCTGTTTTATATGGGTGTATCCACGAAGGTTTGTACCACAATACAATCTTAATGGCTTCAAGCCACGAATGAAAATATCTACGAATATTTCATGATATGCAGTACATTAAATTATTAGCCTTAAATATATATTGAAACCTCATATAAAGCTTATACCTATTCGGAGATGTACAATAACACAAGGCTGACGACCAAGGAGATTTATGTCAGGGCTAGTGTATGATAATGACTAGGAAATTACAGGTCAGGTTAATAGAATGGCCTGAAGTCTCGTACTTTCAGTATAAAGGTTAATAGAACGGCCTGAAGTCTCGTACTTTCAGTTTGAAATTGTACACCCTGCACAGATATGTAAAGTAATTTTCCAAATTCTGTTCCCCCATCTTCATCTAATGCCCCAAAAATGACATTAAACAGAAATAATATCACAATATTATGGTTCTGAAAATGCAGAAATGAAAAAAAAAAAGAAAGTATGCAAATATACCGCCACATATACAAACTATAGTTTTTTAATTTACAAAAATGAAGCTGCCTAATTATGCTACATAATAATAAATTACGCTACATAATAATTAATTACGCTACATAATAATTAAGTGAAAGTATTAAAATGTCAAAGCAAATAAGTAGTGTCTACATCTTTTGGCTTCAGTTTCACAAAATCTTAACGAAAATAATTTGTCCTTCACTGGAATTTCATTGTTAAAATTCAGCCAAGTCTAAAAACTTGAATTACAAAAATACATGTGTTGAAAAGTGTAAATTCTAATGTTGAACATTCAGGTACAAAATGTGTAAATGTATGAAACTGAGAGAAATGGATTTTTGTACATTTACTAAGACATCAACTCTTAGTGAACGATAACAACAAGAAACATTATGGACTAAACTGGGTTTTATCAAAATGCTATATGATTAAACATGAAAAATGACATTTGAAAAGCGGATAAAAGGGAAGTAATTTAAAGCAGAAAGGATATTATTGGTAAACAAGGAAGCAATTTGTCATTAAAAAGACTGTAATAATGGACCACCTTGTTTTGTTTTTTTGATTTTGAAATATCTGACCCTTGTGAGATGGAAAGAAGGTCAAGGTCATTTGTCTGATGAAACCTGATAGCCCATGCCCACTTCCTCAGTTTTTTTTATGTTGGTATGGTACTTTAGAATGATTTTAAAGTATTTTACATAAAAAGTGCCCTTTACTACGAGGAGATACATATAGGTTGAATGTAACAGCTCTAGACCTTAGACTTCTGCAGAAGAAGCTGTTTAAATTTTCATATTAACTTTATTCTGCTGACCTAGAAGATGGGTCAAGGTCATTTCTTAACAAACTTTCACCATAGGTCACAGACAAATTATATCGACTCTAGGTATTATGGTTTTACAGAAGATGTTGTTTAAACAAAAGATGGCAAAGGATGCAAGGCAGAGCACCTTAATTAGCATATATGTAAGTCAGTCTTTACAAATTTGTGTCAGGTGCACCAAAAAATGTTTAAACCCTTGTTTCAGTTCGTACATGCTTTAACATGAAATTACATGCTTTGTAAAGGCCATTATATGATGACCTTGACCTCAGAACTATAAAAATATTACCTTGAATTGATTTTGTGTATATGTACAAAAGTATAAATACCTACACTAAATAGCCCATTACTGCTCTATCTCAAACTACAGGTCAAATCATGCAGCAATCAATATGTGCAATATTTTGAATTCAAGTTATTGTGTTGTGAAGTTATTTTCTTTTCACAAAATATAGGTGGTTTTTAGCTGGATACATTGAGGTGTACATTGTATTGTAACTTATAGTAAGATGCAGACATCATGTATTTATTGTAATAGGTATACATGACACATAATACATTTCCCTGCGATGTGCATAATACTATATTGGTCATATTACGCAATATATACACCATGTACATTTCTCAGAGGTTTATGATAAATAAACTATGTACAATGCCACAGAGGTCCATTGCACAATAATTACACCACGTACATTGCTCAGAAGTTCATGATGGATAAACCATGTACAATGTTGCAAAGGTTCATTGCACAATAAATACACCATATACATTGCTCAGAAGTTCATGATAGATAAACCATGTAAAATGTCATAGAGGTTCATTGCCGAATAAATACACCATGTACATTTCTCAGAAGTTCATGAATAATGTTGTTGATCGCGATTCATTGTACAATATATACACCATGTGCATTGCTCATTGTGATTATTAGTGTGATGCATAAACACACAGATATAGGTTTCCATTACAGTGACTTTAAGGGTAAGATCTGATATTGTTATAATTATTTTACAATAAGGATCTTTGTTAACACTTGATATGATTTAGCTACACTTGTTACACCTGTCATTTCATACTAGATCTCACAAATGTGTTTTGTTAGTCAGATCTTAAACAAGATAAAAAATGGTGCACTACTAAGTTCTACTTGTGCCACAATAGAAGCCACAGAAAATATTGCAGATTCTTGACCAGCACTCAACAATGAAAGAGAAGCTAGCTAACTTAAAATGAAAAACATTTTGCTAGCTAGCTTACAAGACAATGGAAGCCAGCCAGCTTACAATGAAATGAAGCTAGTTAGTTATAAAGAAAAGGTTAACCAACTTCCAAGGAAAACGAACTAACTAACTTATTATGAAAGAGATTGTTCAACATTGAAATTGTAGCTAGCTTTAATATAAAAAAAGCTAGCCAGGTTCCAATGGAAAGAAGAAAGTATACAAAACAAAAGTTAGCCTGCTATGAATGAAAAAGAGTATAGCTAGCTCATGGTAAAAAGCTAGCTACTTTCCAAATCACCATGGACATTTAATTCATAAATGAATGACAATATTGTCAACTAACATTGAATGGCACAGGTTGGCACTAAAAAAACACAGTATGAAAAGACAAATTATACAGTATGTCACCGAAATGTATATATAATGACATTAAAAATACATAGAATGACGCTAACAAAATTGTACTAATGAAAAATGCTTACCTAGAAGATGTAAAAATACAGCAAATATGTAATACACTGGTTACATTAAAAAAAGTATATTCATCGAAAAAAAAATATAGCCAAAAATGTATAATAATGGGATTTTTTTCTATCTAAAATGTATAGCAATGAAAAAATTTAATACTAAAAATATGTAATACAGATGGAGTATAAATATTCAAAATTTTCACTAGTACAACATTTGTCACCAATGTCAACTTTGGCATGTCCACAAGAAAACCACAACCTCCTAAGCCAGGGGAAGACAACTCCATTCTCTTATAAACAGAAACCATGCAGGTAGGTTTGAATTGTTGGCAGTGAAAATTGGTCTACGTGCACAGAGGACCAGTAAAATTTATCTTACATTCATGTAAACACAAGGAATCTTTCTTAGCCCTAAAAACGCTCTCACGGTAATAATTCACTGAAGGATTACAACTCCATCAGATAATTTTTCTGTAAGATCGTATCTGGTTTTTTATGAAATCACTGAAGTTTTATGACTGGTTGACCAGGAAGTTGTGTTGTGGATTTGATAAAATTGTACAATGTTATATCAAAATCAATGATGAGGAAAGATTGTCACTTTTGTAAAACTACAAGATACCATTCTGTTAAGAAAGCAATAAGAAAACTGTATGAGGGAACAGTCTACATGCAAAGACTGCTGCCAAATGATAAGGAAAGGAAAACGCTACAATCCAATATGCTATTTGCTTGTAGTTTGGAGTGTGTTACATAATATTAAGTTAGGATGCTAACAATTAAACTTGGCAAAACATTACAGAACAACAACAGCACGACACACGACAGCATGAACCCATAGGAACGTGGTTCTGTCCATACCTGGCCTTTTATTGCCTAAAAATCAGCAGGTATGGAAACGGTCAGATTGCACTTTAATGCGATGTATTTAAACATAACTGTGGATTGTGTAACTTATTAGTACTTGTATATATTCTGACTTATTTCCACAGCTTCAGATTGTGTAGTTTATTGGTACTTCTGACTGATGGATGTAGCTTATTGGCTTTTTATGTATTGTGATGATGTCACCATTGATCCACTGTTCCTTGCCATTAATGTATTTGGTTAAGTCAGGACCTCAGCTAGGGTAAACAAATTCAAAGTTGCCTTACTCCTCCGACAGAATTTCGTATAATTTAACACATCTCTGATGTAGCAGACATTTCTGAACATGGGCATATACCTTTTACCCTTTGAATATTTACATTTATGATAAAGACATGAGAGCCAAAGACATATACATCAAGAGCTATCTCGTAGGTATGGAAAGCTATAGCTTACAAATTATACGAAAGATTAAATGTATCGGAATATGTCTCCTTAATCAAATAGGGTGTGAAGCATTTCAAAATTGTACCAAAGAGTGAAGTTGTGAAAGTTTTAAGTTACAATCTCAGCTTAGATATTTCATTTCTTGACACCAAGGAGTAGTATTTTAATGGTGTGCAACATCAAAATCTATACAATGGTTGTCTCTGCAGCTAGTTTATATTGTAACTATAGTAACACAATGCTGAAACAATTAATACAGTTTAATGATATAAGCTATCATTTAAATAAAATATTAAAAATATAAGACCATGAAAACATGAAAGTTACAAATTTCTAAAACTGAGCAAAAAACAGCATATTTTCACTACTGAAAGAGTTCTTTTTCTAAATGTGATTAAAAAAAGTCCCTGTATTGGATATATTTTTATGGGAGAGAAACATTTCCTTACTGAAAATATATTATAAAGTCACCCATTTAAACTGAAAGTAAAAGTATATCAATCTTAATTTTACAAAATTGTCAAAGAAATATTGAATTTTCCATAAAAATGAAATACAAGGTGGGTTTACAATTTCTCTAAATCACTTAATCATTATTTCATTCTAAATACTGTTTTGCTCAACATTAAAAAAAATTGTGACTTTTAAAACTGCAGAGCGCATTGTTTCCTTTGGCTCAATATTTTGTAGATTTGTTTGGGAATATTATTAAATAATGATTTACATTTAAGGCATGGAACCAAATTTTCACAATCCTCCTGAAATTTTATGGACATCTAAACTAATAGAGTTCAATATCTGATTATGATAATTTTTGTAAAAGGGGATATATTGGACTCCAAGGGTCTGCTTTTGATACCATCATACATGCAACTACTCTGCACCTTTTGGTGTTCTCCTGACAAAAATCAAGTCCCTGTATGCGCTACTTTGTAGATGATAAAAGCTGCCTTGCCTGTAAAATGTTACAAAATGTTGTATACCTGTGATCTCTGAGTGGTGTTTGATTAAGATAATGTAAATCATATGGCATTGCCACGGTAACAAATTGACAGGCTTTGATCTCAAAGTAGCTCTATCAAAGTACAGGAATAAGTGTCTACAAGTCATGTGACTGGTCAGCAGGAATAAGTGTCTACAAGCCATGTGACTGGTCAGCAGGAATAAGTGTCTACATGCCATGTGACGGGTCAGTTTCTAATGTTTGGAACCAATCAAAATAGCTATAGCTCAACCACACAAGCATTGAATCTGCCATGAGAAATTTCAAGGTGCAGAGAAGATATGTACTAAAAGCAAACCCCTCGGCTATTGAAAAAGCAAGGGGGACAACTCAAATGTTGTCTGCGTTACTGAATACCCAACCAACATAAAGAATACTTTATTGCACTATATTAAAGATTACCCTAAACAGACCATGTATACAGTATATAATCTAAGGTACAATATGGGAGATGGTAGGAGGAATGCGAAGCAGAGGTCAAGGCCGTCAGACAAATACTAGATCTATACACCATTTCACTGTAAAGCAGAAATTTTCACTGGGGTTTCATTTTCGTTTGTTTTGTATGGAGCCTAATACTTTAAGAATATATTTCATAAAACTATCTGCCTCAACAACTGTGAGTTCTAAAGTAGTTTGAAGTGTTTGAACCTCGGTGCTGGTTATTAAACTTATATATAGACTTGGTCAGATATTTGTAAATAGGATCGCCTTGCTCTGTCATGTCAGGTTTAGAGTTTGACAACATTTGCACATCAGTGTGCTGGCATAGTAGGTTCGTCTCTCAGCACTGAACACAACCTGTGTCAGCCCTCTGAAGAGGATTTTTTAATAAGTGCTTAGTAAATATCTAATTAGGAACAGTTCTTGGTAGCATAAGCACTTGTCAGCATCAATTTTTGTTTATTTAAGAAGGAGTATCAAATTGAAACAAAGAACATTTGAAATGATACCTTCTGGCAGTTTACCGTTTTTTTTGTTCAAATAAAACCATGAAAAGATCTTAAGACTGCAATGAAAATTTCTGCATTACAGTGTATGTTTTAATTATTTATTAAACACCTACCATCCTTTATTTTACTTTCATGTTATTAAGTTTAGGAAGTGCACAGAAAGCTAAAGGACGATTATATTTCAGAATGACAGATATTAAGAATAGTTCAATAAATTGGGATTTTAAGCCAAGCACTAAACTGAAGCTAGGAAACTATAAAACTTCAGAAAAGTGACACAGGTAAAAACCAGTAATATGGAATTTCATAATTTCAGTTTGATGTTTTAAAATGTACTGTTATTTTTGTAACTTAAATCTTAAAATTTTAAGAGAAAAGTTTAAAGCAGGACTTAAATTTCTAAGTACCAGTATACAGTTCTGTGTCTAAACCGAAACCCCTAATAGTCCAGATACCTGACTAAACTAGGCCTGCTGATAGCTCTAACTATATAATCTGAAAACCTGTCTAATCTGAACAAAGAAATCAGGTCATTTAGACAGGTTACAATGTGTCCCTTTTTAAGGTCAAATATTATCAATTATTATTCATAGATATGGAAGCTACTATGGGCTACAAATGGTATGTATGTATTATCAGTTATGGGGAAATTTAATCACATTTATTTACCCTTATTCTGTTAAGTATATTATTAATGTCAAAATTAATAGTTTTTATATAGATTGTCTTTATTGCACCATATCACATTTCTTATTTCATATTAGCCATGATACCTGGCAGCTAAATATTCTGAAGAACTACAGGTAACAAGTCTTTAACTATTAATAACGTTTTATGGCATTATTCCTACAGCATTAAATAAGCTGTAAAAAGCTCCATAACACCATGATACATAGTCTCTTCAATTATAAATTGTGATGATTCCTAAAGCTATAAATAACTCTCAATAGCTGGTTATCATGTTATCTATATCTCTATTTCATACGATTGAACCGATGCTGGTATTTAGATATCCTCGTCTACAGTGCTTTCATTTCAAAAATGCAAATTTGTCTAAATAAGGCAATTTTGGAAACATTATTCTACCATTTAAGTTAAAAACTAAAAAACCATTTCCCAAGGAAATGTTAGAATTTTTAAGAAATATTCATGAACCACTGCATATACCAGTACAAGAGCCATTTACGGAGCACTTACCACTTTATCCTGGTCGAACAGTTCCACTATAATGGTAGGGGGGCTGTTGGCGATTTCCTCCATCAACCCAAACATGGTCACTTCGTTGATGATGAGCATTTCGTCCCAAGTCGGGCTCAGTGTCTCTTCAATCACCTGTGTACACACACTCTGGTCCCCAAAGGCGATTCGTGCAAAGGGGTCAGACAGTCCCGACGCATCTGAACCAATCAGACTGCGAGCCTGATAGAGATGGGCTCGTAACTGGAATAACTGCTTCTCTGAAAATTACAGAAAACACATCAGTAAAATAATGTCAGATAGAGAAATGTCACTGGTACCCAGATGAGATATTCATAAGAACATTTTTGGTAGTCACACTGCTTTTTTTTTTCAATTTAATTAACCCTCTGCAGGGTACACTAAATACCTGTATACTGTATGGAGTGTGGATTATTATCTCACCTGAATAATGTATAGATATTGGGGTATTTTTCTCACCTTTACAATGTATGGAAGATGGGGTATTTTTCTTATCTGTAAACTGTATGAAGAGTGGGATCTTTTCTCATCTGTAAACTGTATGAATGGTGGGGTCTTTTCTCATCTATAAACTGTATGAAGGGTGGGGTCTTTTCTCATCTGTAAACTGTATGAAGGGTGGGGTATCTTTCTCACCTGTGTACTGTATGAAGAATGGGGTATTTTTCTCATCTGTATATTGTATGAAGGATTGGGTATTTTCTCACCTGTGTACTGTATGAAGGATGGGGTATTTTCTCATCTGTATACTGTGTGAAGGATGGGGAATTTTCTAATCTGTATACTGTATGAAGGATGGGATATTTTCTCATCTGTGTACTATATGAAGGATGGGGTATTTTTCTCATCTGTATATTGTATGAAGGATGGGGTATTTTCTCCCCTGTGTACTGTATGAAGGATGGGGCATTTTCTCATCTGTATACTGTATGAAGGGTTTGATAATGTTCTCACCTGTATATGTGGTATTTTTCTCATCTGTATAGTGTATGATGGATGGGGTATTTTCTCATCTGTATACTGTATGAAGGGTGGCATCTTTTCTCATCTATTAACTGTATGAAGGATGGGGTATTTTCTCACCTGTGTACTGTATGAAGGCTTTGATAATGTTCTCACCTGTATATGTGGTATTTTTCACATCTGTATAGTGTATGATGGATGGGGTATTTTCTCATCTGTATACTGTATGAAGGATGGGGTATTTTCTCATCTGTAAACTGTATGAAGGGTGGCATCTTTTCTCATCTATACACTGTATGAAGGATGTGGTATTTTCTCACCTGTGTACTGTATGAAGGGTTTGATAATGTTCTCACCTGTATATGTGGTATTTTTCTCATCTGTATAGTGTATGAAGGATGGGGTATTTTCTCATCTGTGTACTGTATGAAGGATCGGATATTTTCTCATCTGTATACTGTAGGAAGGATTGGGTATTTTCTCATCTGTGTACTGTATGAAGGATGGGGTATTTTTTCACCTGTATACTGTATGAAGGGTGGGGTATTTTCTCGTCTGTAAACTGTATGAAGGATGGGATATTTTCTCATCTATAAACTGTATGAAGGATAGGGTATTTTCTCACCTGTGTACTGTATGAAGGATGGGGTATTTTCTCATCTGTATACTGTATGAATGATGGGGTATTTTCTCATCTATAAACTGTATGAAGGATGGGGTATTTTCTCACCTGTGTACTGTATGAAGGATTTGATAATGTTCTCACCTGTATATGCGGTATTTTTCTCATCTGTGTACTGTATGAAGGATGGGGTATTTTCTCACCTGTGTACTGTATGAAGGATGGGTATTTTCTCATCTGTATACTGTATGAAGGATGGGATATTTTCTCATCTGTGTACTGTATGAAGGATGGGGGATTTTCTCACCTGTGTACTGTATGAAGGATGGGGTATTTTTCTCACCTGTTTACTGTATGAAGGATGGGGTATTTTTCTCATCTGTATACTGTATGAAGGATGGGGTATTTTCTCACCGGTGTAGAGTATGAAGACTGGGGTATTTTCTCATCTGTATACTGTATGAAGGATGGGGTATTTTCTCATCTGTATACTGTATTAAGGATGGGGTATTTTCTCACCTTTGTACTGTATGAAGGATGGGGTATTTTTCTCACCTGTTTACTGTATGAAGGATGGGGTATTTTTCTCATCTGTATACTGTATGAAGGATGGGGTATTTTCTCACCTGTGTACTGTATGAAGACTGGGGTATTTTCTCATCTGTGTACTGTATGAAGGATGGGATATTTTCTCCTCTGTATACTGTATGAAGGATGGGGTATTTTCTCATCTGTATACTGTATTAAGGATGGGGTATTTTCTCACCTTTGTACTGTATGAAGGATGGGGTATTTTTCTCACCTGTTTACTGTATGAAGGATGGGGTATTTTTCTCATCTGTATACTGTATGAAGGATGGGGTATTTTCTCACCTGTATACTGTATGAATGATGGGGTATTTTCTCACCTGTAAATTGTATGAAGGATGGGACTATTTTTCAAAGTGGTATTCTCTATTAAGGGTTGTTTTTTTCTCACCTGTATAATGTATAAAAGGTGGGGGAATTCCTTGTGGTTTGATGGCCAGCTGTATAAGTTTGTTTGTTTCGTATCCCCCAGGCAGTCCATTGAGGAAGTCCTTTTTGTGTTTGGCCAGACCAAGCCACAGGTACACCTGAACCTTGGCTTGAATAGCCCAGCCTGCCTGACTGGTAGCTTTCTTCCCTGGCAACTGTACAACACAAAATGGAGGTCAGGTATCTCTTTATACACTCTGTAAGTCTCTACTGTAATAACAGACCACCTTCAGAGAGTTTATAAAGTCGCATGTTGTTGCAGGTGGTCTCTAAATACAGGTGCAGTTAACATGAAAATAATAATAAAAAAAAATGCACTTTATTTTAACCCATTCTTGATCATTTCACTATATTTACAATCACCCACCAAAACATGTATATCTGTTATATTTTATTCTTGTCTCATGTTAATTCACCAATTTAAATAGATACTTATAACAAGATGTATTGTTTGTATCGCAACATGTTACAATACAGTAAATCAGTTATATACTCATCTCTAGGATTACTTATATTCCACAAATCGGACAATTTGCTGAAGAATATATAAATATTTACATTTATAGATAAAATACCACAGAAACTAGGCATTGACATTTCTAAGTGACCTTGACACTGACCTTGAGCAGCAATGTCTGAACGCGGGAGCAGTCTTTGCCGCGTTCCTCGTCTACGATGGAGTAGATGATGTCCATTGCGGGAATCCTCTGGTAGGCAATTCTCTTGTTGCCACTCACCATCCATATAAACACATCAGGCAGGGCGTGCTGGGGCTCCGAGGTAAGACCCTTAAGTCGTTGCAGGTATTGGCTTGCATAGCGAATTTTGTCCTTGAGATTTCCCTTGGATACAGTGGCCTTCATACTGCGAGCAAGGGTAGACATCTGATCCTGTTCAACACCAACTCATCCATTACTAGACATAGTATCAGTTAATGAGCCTCCACATAGACCCATAGAAGGTGAGATGGGTCAATGAGATATCTAGTGTTATACTGACCCTCGACATACAAGAGTACCACAGAGACAAACTACTGTACGCCAGTACATGTCATGTAGCCTCCATCTCTATTGTATAACCAACAGAGACAAACTACTGTACGCCAGTACATGTCATGCAGCCTCCATCTCTATTGTATAACCACATCTCTACTGATGCATTGTTGTTACAAAATTTATGAAAATATCGAAATGTTATATAAAGCTACTTTTTATATTATTACTAAGTAACACTGAAATTCCAGAATGCTTAAGTAAAAGTTCCTGTTCCCATTTACAATCATAATTGCACAATTTTCCGAAAACTTGTTTTTTCAATCTGATGTGAGTTTGATTTCCACAGAACCTACCATTTCCCTGATGAGTAGTTTTTGACGTTCCTTGTCCAGTTTGGTTTTGCCTGCTGTGGCTCCCCCACTTGTCCCCTTTACTATCGTGACAAACTTTGAAGCTGATGAGCCGAGCTCTTCAAACACTCCCCGGAGACGCTTCTCTGGGAAGGGCTGCTCCTGGTTGATCATTTCATGCACATCGTTGATACCATCCTCCTGTGAACAGACGGAAGAAACTTTGTTTTGAATTTGTGATTTTTTAAATGTTTATACATATTTAAACAGAAATTATACACACAAAGAAATTTTTGATTCTTCAATTTGCAATATTAATATGTCAAAGACTTATATAAAACAATAAGGAGAATGACAGTAACATAGTACAAGGCTTTATAAAGGTCTGCTGACCAGTTTCTCCACTATCTTGTTGATAATGTTTGTGTTGTACATTCTCCGCCTGTGGTCCTCAAACACTTCCTTGATGTACACGCATGGCTTGTCATCGTAAAATGGTAGGTGGTAATAGCATCGGTCGCGGGTGACTGGTCGCAGGGGCGGAGTGTGGCTCTGCCACTTTGGAGAGTCTGTACTGAGTTTCTCCATCGGTCCATCCTCCCCTTCCTCTTCACTGTCTTCCTCCTCGCTGCTCGAGTCCTGTTTCTTCTTTGTGGGAGGGTTATACCCATCCAGAGTGTTTCCAGCATTTGCTGTGGGGAAAAAAAGTAAATCACATAAATCCAGAACCACTTTTGACAAACCAATAATGAAGTCTCTTATTGCAGGTGGTCCCTAATACAGGTGGTCCCTAATACAGGTTCAGTTAACAGGAAAATGATTGACATGGGGGAGTTTTAAAACAGATCAATCATTAAACAGGCATCTAAGGTCATATGAGTCACTCAAGGAATTGTTCATCGTTTTGAATGTTAAACCTACTAATGGGCCCTGAATAGATGAGATGGCCATATGGTGCAGTGAACATGTTTACTTTGGTTGACTTACTACATCCCCTTGATAAGGTTTTAAACAGGAGCTTCCTTTCTTTATGTTTCTGATTATCTTCAGTGGTCCCTATAGATACCATGTTTCTGAGCCTATCCACCCCCAAATAAACGTCGAGTAATATGTAATTGTCCAGCCTTACTACACACATCTGGAGGTCAGTTCAGCTTAACTCATTCACCCCTGAAGACACATTTGAACTCTTCTAATTCAAAGGTTGGAATAGTTCATCATAAAATTTCAGGGTTAAATGAGTTAACTTGACCCTACATCACCGTTTAGTAAATTACCTACCAATGCTTATTTCAAAACGGACAGGCTTGTCTCCAACCTTCTTGTCAATCATGGAGGCCTCTAGGAAACATCCAAACAGAAAGTATTCCTCTACTCGTCCTGTTGCATTCTGAAATTTAAAAAAGTAGCCATGATATCTATACATCACTGTCATTCATCAATTTCACAAACTATTCTTTCCTTACTTATCTGAGAGGATACTGATCTACACTTCACCAAGTGTCCAAGTATGTAAATCTTAGGTTAAAAGTAAGGAATTGTTTCTGTGGTACATGAAGTCATAATTCATGGATAATGCAAATTTACATAACAGTATGAGGATTTTATCAAATAAGGTCATATAATTTTACCCATATTATTTTTTTTCATTTCGGTCACATTTCAGAATCATGTCAATATGTGCAAATGTCCAGGAATTCGTCTCCATTGCACATCAAACTTACCAAGCTGAACTTTCAAGAAATGTCTCATTTTTATCATGACACTTCAATGAAAATTCTACATAGGGGATGATATTGAGTTACACAGCACAAAAGAAGGAAGCTAGCTTTGTACATGTTTACTTTCACATTTATACATGTTACCTTCACCTTAGAAAGTCCCAGGTGACCTTGACCTATCCATGACCTTGCTTACCTCTGGTAAAGGCAGTGCTGGTTCCAGCTCTACCATAGCTTTATTAGAGCCCTCCTCAACGCTATCAATGATGTCTGTTTTCAGGGATATGAGCATGCGCCCCCGATAGGACACCCCCTCCCCGAGACCATCATTGAGGTGCGTGTTCTCGTCCAGCAGGCTGTAGTCACGTATTGACCCATACAGGTTTATCCAACAGGGGCCAAACGTCGGGAGAAACCCTAAAACATGTCACCATTACTAATGTCAAGACTTGTCACCACAGTATACATCATAGACATTAAGGTAAAGCACTCTCACATTCATTATCAGTGTGATTATTCATAGATTTAAGAAAAACATTGATGCAGGACTAGACTGAGATGATCGTATAAACCAAAGAATATGTACACTGTACATTAACAGTTGTCCCTAATGATGCAGAACTACAATTTGCTAACAGGTAACAGGGTGCCCCTGTGGGGTGCCCCTGTTAGTACTATGATAACTTTAACATGTTAAGCTGGGTGCTCCTGTTTGAAATATAATAAGTTTTGTATGTATAAGATGGATGCCCCTGAGAGGTGCCTCTTTTAGTGCTGGTAGAGCTTTTACATCTTAAGTTGGGTGCCCCTGTAGGGTACCTTTGATAGTACTGATAAAAGTTATGTATGTAAGCAGGGTGCCCCAGAGGGGTACCCCTGATAGTACTGATACAACTTATGCATGTAAGCAGGATGCCCCAGAGGGGTGCACTTGTTAGTAATATTAATAACTTTTACATCTTAAGTTGGGTGCCCCTGTAGGGTACCCCTGATAGTACTGATACAACTTATGCATGTAAGCAGGGTGCCCCAGAGGGGTGCACTTGTTATAACATTAATAACTTTAACATCTTAAGTGTGTAATGTAATGTAATGTAATGCAAAAGTAGTGTGAAAGATCTGGGTAGTATATGTACTATGTACAAATAGTGGCTCTGTCAGTCAGCTGAATTATGGTAAAGCACCTTAAGACCCTTCCATCTATGAAGAGTATTTAATTCTACCATATATGGGTCTTGAGAAGAAGATTTTTGAAATTTCAATCAATTCGACCCTTTTTGGCCCTACTCATCAGCCCCTGGGGGTCAGTCAGTACTGATATGTGCAAACCATCAAACTGCAATACAATACTGATAATGCTAACCAAGTTTGAATTAATTCCAATTGAAATTCCTTTTTGGCCCTGCCTCGCAGGCCCCTGGGGGCTGGGGACCATATAATTTACAAGTTTGGTTGACTTTGTCTCAGGTGACCTAATAACTTTATAATGTTAGTTAGGTGCTCCTGTGGGGTGCCCCAGTTAGTAATATAATAACTTTATAGGTTAGTTAGGCGCTCCTGTGGGGTGCCCGAGTTAGTAATATAATAACTTTATAATGTTAGTTAGGTGCTCCTGTGGGGTGCCCCTGTAAGTTATATAATAACTTTATAACGTTAGTTAGGTGCTCCTGTAGGGTGCCTCTGTTAGTAATATAATAACTTGTATATGTTAGTTAGGTGCTCCTGTGGGGTGCCCCTGTAAGTAATATAATAACTTGTATATGTTAGTTAGGTGCTCCTGTAGGGTGCCCCTGTTAGTAATATAATAAATTGTACATGTTAGTTAGGTGCTCCTGTGGGGTGCCCCTGTAAGTAATATAATAACTTTTATATGTTAGTTAGGTGCACCTGTGGGGTGCCCCTGATAGTAATATAATAACTTGTATATGTAAGTAAGGTGCTCCTGTGGGGTGCCCCTGTTAGTAATATAATAACTTTTATATGTTAGTTAGGTGCTCTTTCGGGGTGTCCCTGTTAGAAAACTAATAATTTTGAATGGTAAATTAGATGCTCCTGTGGAGTGCCTCTGTAAGCACTGGAAGAACTTTTTCATCTGAAGTTGGCTGTCCAGTGTGGTACATGTTAAAGATATAGGGTTAATATTAGTCCTCATATGTTAGTACTGAGTACTTGTGCTTACCATCCTTGGTGTCTGTCTTCTCTAAAAAGGAATCATGTAAACACACATCAAATATATGGCAAACAACCAACCTTACACATTGGTACATTCTTAGAATGAGGAAGAGCATTTAACCATTTTTGTGTCAAATGGAGTAGACTTTAAGGTCATTGGAGTGTATTGATAAACGGAAACAGAAAGTACATCCCTAGTTGAAAATCCAATGTAGGGAGACAGTATCACAATTTCTGCAAATTCTTATGTTTAATATTAAACTGATGAATATTGTATGTTTATAATTGACAGAACAGTGTGTTCTCTCAATATTAAAGTATTTCAAAGCAATCCAGGCATTAATTCAGTTTTTTTTTATTAATGAGTCACATGTGTCCATTTTTCTGTACTTCAGGAAACTGGCTACCTATTTCACTGCTGTGAAGTTTTTCAAGAATGATAACTCTTACCTGCAATTACTATGTGTTTTAATTTATTATAAAACGCATTTATTAAATTGATATACATTAATGTAAAGTAAATGTCATTATCATTTTTTATTGACATTATTTTGTAAAAATAAATTCACTCCTTTTTACATAAATGTCCATTTAAAATCCTTAAAATTCTGACAACCTATATTTTTTGTGGCAGAAAATTTTCTTTACTTTAATGCAATATAACTACAAAATTTGAAGAAATTCTACTGAGAAATGGTAACACAATCCTATTACCTTAAGTAACTTTATTTCTCTGACAACAGTTACAGAACTAAATAAATTTTGTATTGAGTTGTCTCTCTTTGACCATTTACAAGAGGGCCTAACACAATCAGACCAAGAGTAAGCTTGACTGTAACAGTTACCTCCCTTTGACTGATAAGCTGATGCAGGTCATGAATATTTTACTGAAGCTACACTATGTTAGTACCTTCCTTAGGCTGCTGTCTCTCTTCATATATCAATTTGAGTGTAGACCAGAATTCGTTATTTTTGCCATAATGACCTGGATTTATATAGAGTTGTCTTCCTTGGATCGAGGTTAAGATGAGACATTTATGTAGTTATATCATACCTGCCACCTCTTCCTTTTTAGGACGGAGACTTCCAATTTCGGACCCTTAATTTTTTTGTTTTAACCAGCGAATCTGCTTAACTATTCCTACATTCTACGATCTATTAGAACAACTTGAAAGATGTAATTTTAAACATTTATTTTGTCTCTAGGGAGTATATATACACACATTTCTTTGATTTAATTTTGAGCATGCAGAACCTCCCCCATGAACATTTAAAAAGTTGACAAGTATGCTATAAGCACCGAAAAATGTTTGACTTTCTCCATTTTGCCCTCGCTCATATTGACAGTACATTTATTATCACGATGGGAAATTTGTACACTAATGAGTTCTGTAGATTATTTCTATTGTTAAACGTGAAATTATCACTGGATAAATTTTCTGATATGAAGTAAATCTATTACAGAATCAAACTCAAGAATAAGTTCATGACAGCAGACGTGAATTTAACATATGTAAACTACAGAATTTTTTATGCTGAAAAAAAACCATTTGTTTCTTCTTACTTTCGTTCCTCACTTTTGTACAGTGGACAACTTTTCTGAGTTATGCTTGTACAATGTCAGGATTTATGTGGAGGGTAAATTTAGCATTTGATTTGCCTTTAACCTAGAGATGAAGGTCACAGTGACTCAGCTACCATACACTAAACACATTCTGTGGCTGATGTTGTTACAATTAAGTTTGTCTTCAAGATATCTGATACAGTTTAACAAAGAGGGGCCAGATAATTGAAGTAATGAATCAGCTTTGAAGTTCAGGTCAGTGACCTTATTATGCAACACTGCACACCTTCTATGTGGTGATGCTGGATATCAATTTTTTTTTTTTTTAAATTCATGTCAGAAAAATTCTTACTAAAAATTAAGCATCTCGCTGAGTTTTGACCTTGAGGGTAAATAGTCAGAGTGCCCTCATTACAGTACACTGCAAACTTTCTGGGTAAGAATGCATCAGTTTTTCAGTTTTTTATAAATATATTTACAATTAAATAATTATGATCAAGAAAAACATAACAACTAGAAGAACCACGACCTCAGAACCAGTGTGTGTACTAAAAGATGTGTTCCTTCAATTGACAGAGATATTTTAAGTTAAATGCTGATCAAGTACTTTATCCTTACCACCCTTGGCGTCAGTCTTTTCTAGAAAAGAACCACATTTAATACACATCAATTCATCTGACGAAATATAGAGGTATAGTCTAAGATATAGCATAAGATTTTTTCTGCTATTTTTCAGAGAAACTTTTCAGTTTGTGGTAAAAACAAGATAAAAATAATGTTTTTTGTTTAAATTATCTAAATTAGTACTTTTTCTCAATAAATCAATAAATCAATGCTAGAGTTTAACCCCGTATTTGTTGATTAACAAGAAATATTGTGATTTAATTGTAGAGTTATTGGACTAAAATGTCTTGAGCTGTCTCCCTTTTACCATTTTCCAGAACTGGATCATAATTTATATAGAGTTATCTCTCTTTGGCCATATTCCATTTCAGGAGAATATGTGTTATGTATCTTCTTTTGGCCTCAAAACTGCTGAAATGCTAGACATTTAAATATGTGTTCTGATGATTGAATACATATCTTCGTCAGTCCTATGTAACTTTGTTTCCTGTTGACAGTGTCTAACGAGACTTCAGCCCATTTATACTGATCCACCATGGTCCTACCTTTGTCTCCTTCATTAGATATTTTGGAGATATCAATGAAGAACGTGCCTATGATGTCATCGTTGACTTTGTCACTGTCCCGCAGTTGAACCTTCATCCTCCGACATAATGGCGGAAACATCTCCGTAAACACCAGTTGTTCATTCCATACAGGTTCGTAACATCCCTTCTTCACCGATGTCTTCCCCTGGTAAAACACAATGGAGGTGTAAGTTTTTCCCTTGATAGAATTTCTTTACCAGCAGTACTGACAATGCATAGAATATATTGACCTCTAGGAAATCTTGGAATATAGAATATTTTCTGTCATAGATTGGACATACACTGAAAAAAACAAGGCTCACAATGTTGTGAGTATTTTATAGTCTGAATTGTCTTACAAACTTTGGTATGGAAAAAGAACAAAGCTGAATAACTGACAGAAGCGATACCTGTAGTTTCCTAAAGTAATAAAGATGAGACGTAATCTATAAATAACATTGAGGAAGACTCTAAGTCTCGTCTGGTAAATACGATGACAACTGAGATAAAAATCTCAAAAACTTATTTTACCTATAAGGTAAAAGGAGATAGTCTTTAAATCTTTGAAAAGCTAGGGTAATCTAGGGTAATTAGGGTAAATAGGGTAAATAGAGACAAATATTAATCATTACAACACACCATTCAGGTATTTGATATCTAATTACATGTGTAGTTAGCAGAGATATTTCACTAGTAATTGGATAATACATGTAACTGTGAAATATTTTGATAATTTTGTGACACTGTTTAAAATCTGTACAGAAAATGCTGTTTCATGATATATTAGAATACACTGACTCCTTCACAAGACTACAGAACAAAGAAGGACCCTATCGTACAATGATGAGTGAAGTCCTGGTACCAAGGTGATGACCTTTGACCCCACTACCTACCACATGTCCAGCGAAGGACACTGACACATAGGGGTCCACCAAGTCCTTAGTTTCACCAGTGAATGCCTTTTTGACATTAGCCATGATCCCTGTATTCATTTTGGGTAGGCCCTCTGCCTTCAGCACTCGCACAGTGAATTTGGCACGCTGACGATCGGCAGGAACACCCTCCGGTAGCAACAGATTTCTGCGTAAAATTGAAGATTTCAACAAAAAGTAGCACTTTTTTGTTCATTTATCCCTTTCTTCACTAAGAAAAATATGTTTAAAAAAATCCTGCCTTGTAGGATTATTTTGATACACGTATAAGAATCTGCAATAAATATTGGTTACTTAATATCATTGGTATTTAATAAACTTCAGGGTAAGATTACCTATATGATGATGCCAGATTTGTTACAAATATTTCCATTTTTGTACAGACAGATAAAGGACAAGTTGATGTGTCATGTTGCTTACCCTTCAATGTCGTCCTCATCCTTATCAGTTTTCGGAGGAACCTGTAATCACACAAAATCAGCCATGACTGACTCACACCTACCTGTACCTTATGAAAATATATCAAATTTGTGGCTATGATATTCATAAATGTCTTAAAATTTTAAAAGAAAATTAAAGAATGAAATTAACTACTTTACTTTAAGTATTTAATTATATTTCAGTATGCAAGTTTTCAGATTCTACCTGTACAGAACTGGTTCCATAATTGTTAAAGAAACAACTGAACTGAACATACAGCAGCAGATGTAGGACACAGAAGACTTTAGGCTTCCTGTTCTCAGTTTTAAGTTCAATTATAATATACTCAGGTACAGTATGCCATCCAACTTTGACTACAAAGCATTTTTCCAGAATTAAAATGGCTGGTCAATTTTCACCACTTTTATGTAGCAGCTAATTTAAGATAAAAAGATGTATACGTTTATCAAAGAGTAACACTCAAAAAAATGCTTTCCTAAAGGTACTCTTGGCTTATATTACAGTATACTATCTGCATCACAATGTAAATGGATATAAATATTAAATTTCCTACCCTATAGGGATTCCAACCTACAGGGATTCCAACCTACAGGGATTCCAACCTATAGGGATTCCAACCTATAGGGATTCCAACCATTCCAACCTATAGGGATTCCAACCTACAGGGATTCCAACCTACAGGGATTCCAACCTACAGGGATTCCAACCTAGAGGGTATTCTAAATTATGACAGATCCCAATCTACAGGATTTTCATTGAACCTATGGAGATTTCCTATTTTTTTTTTTAGTATAAAAGTGCACATGTACTTTAATTATTACACTAAGGCTTTGCAGATGGAAAATTTGTGTGAAATTGTTTCTTCGGCAAAAATTTGGCAAAATTCAAACCCCCATGAATTTTTTCCAAGAAAAAAATGCAAAAATGTTTGACCCCAAGAAATTGAAACTTTTTACAGTATTATCATTCAATAATCTTGATTATCTATAGTATGGAGTACAACCTTGACCGAGTCTCCTTTGCCTATCACAGCGATGTCCACCTTGACGTAACCTTTGACCCCTCCGTTGATGTCGTCCGAGTCCGTCAACATTGCCCATTTGTGGTAAAACTGCCGATCTTAAATGCAAGAAAAACCACTAAAAGGAAATGCTTTAATATTCTGCAATATATTTTAGAAGAATTAAACGATATTGTAATTCGAATGTATATATACTTTTTTTTTCAGGTACATAAATCTTATTACTGTTAAATTTTGAAATTGAAATAACATTCAAACATGCATATATGGTCAGATAAATTAATAAATCATATTGTTGTAATTTAATCAAAACTTCTCTAAAAAACCATTGAATTCCAATAATCTTGAAACAGTTTCAACAGATTTTAAAAATCAAGCAAAAAAATATAACCCTAAATATATCACTCTTGCGAAAATTTTGAATCAGTGATTTTTCACTTAAAAGAAAAAAATATAGAAAATCCAACATTCAGTTACGTTAACCCTAATGTTAACACTTCCCTGTTACAACTATCAAACAGATTAAACAAACTGAAATGAAAGAAATTTAAAAGTTTATGTACATTATCTTGAAATATTTTCCCCTCATTCCTGCTGCCTGTATGAGCGAACTGTCCAGGGTAAGAAAGGATGTTAGGAATTTCTACCTAACACCTTATGTCATGTGTGTGATGTCACAAAGCGACAAAAAGGATGTGATGTCACAAAATCAGGAACATTCCGATGCCATGATGCGGAAATTGTGACACCACTTTTTGGGTTTCTGAGTTAGTTCTAGAGATTGGAATGAGAGAAAAATACTCGTTCATGCCCAGGGGTGTAGGAGAGGGAAATTCCAGCATTTTCAAATTTGTGCAAAACCATCAGCAAGCCTCAGGTTTTACCTTATATGAAAATCCCTTTGGTAGAATTAACGTATCCTACACCCCTGGGTATAAAAGCATCTTATAATCTGTACATGGAAATTAATTAATTAGGATACATGAATGTTGATGCAAAATAATGTAATTATTCCTAGTAAAAATCATTCCAAATAATCTGACAAAAATACTCTGATGTACAAGAAATCCTTCAAATAGTTCCAAGATATTTAAATATGAATAATAAAAGTGCAATAATTTTCAAAAACATTTTTATTGACAATCAGTGGTACGAAAATTGTTCTCCAATCACTCTACAATACCCAGAATCCAAATGATTTAATTCCAAGAGATCCGATATATTTTTATGGATGATAACTAATTCGCATTACCCAGAGCATTAAGTATGTATGCTAACCCATTCACCCTTACATATATAAACTGAAATTGCCCAGTCTCTGATTTGATAAGGTTCAAATGTGACTTTAGGGGTGAATGGGATAAGCATTTTTGCAGTGGTGAGAATTATTGTTGTACCACTTAACATGGCATAGCAAGCACAGCATTTGTTTAAATGTTAATTAAAATAGCATCAGATAGCCAACAGCACCACAGAAACAATAAATGAAGGAAGCAAAATTATTTAATAAAAATATATTAGTATATAAAATATCAATAGAATATGAAAGTTATAAATATATAAAATATTTGTAGAACATATTAGTGTAAAATTTAAAGGATAATACCATATTATGAATTAAAAACAATTAAAATGTAATCAATGTCAATGAACGCGTCAAGATTTTTACAATTTTCCATTTTTTACCTGTACTCCTCACAAAAGTTTTTTTTTTTCAAGACAGTACCTTGGGCATTGTAAACTGTGCCGACGTCAAGTTTGTAAGTTCCGAGGGGCTTGTTGGAGCGGAATAGACGTCCAGACTGACAAACCTAACCATGGACAACACAGAAGTCGTCAGTTGTCATAGCAACATGATCCTCCATGCCCACACGCTCGTGTGAACAGGTAAGACAAACAGTTTATAATTAACATTGGATCAGACGAAGGATCAATGATCTTCTATCTATTTCTAATTATGTAATGGAGGAAAGTAAAATCTGATGAATGGCCTGGAAATCAAAGAAAGTGGTATTTTCTGTTTGTTGACTTTTCTCCGACACACCATCCGCGTCACAAGGCATTAAACACCCAAACCTAATAAGGTCTCAGGGTAAAAAGTTGCCAATGTGTTAACCTCCATATGTGAAAAATATAAATAATCATTTCATGGTCCATACTTTCAGACAATTTATTTCCATTTAAAAATGAAGAATTAATAAAAAAAGGCATTGTTTTGTTTTGTTTCTCTGCCCTTTACTTATGATGGTGTCGCCTGTGAAAAGTCAACATACAACATCCAGCCGGAATCAAACAAGCAAATCTATCATCTTCCAGATGTTTGTTGTCTTTATATTTTTGTTTAACATTTTCTTTTTCGTACTACAGATTTTTCAATTATCGATTTAGCACATGGCTTTTGATAATCATCTGACTAATCCAATTTGCTTGTTAGACTAGTAGTTAAAGCAACCATGACTGACTTCCACGCCAGGGATCATAAACAGGAAACACGATACAAAACAGTCCTCCTGACTGCTTTACAGGAACAACCGATCAGGTTTCCATGGCAACTTAATTTCTTATTGTAGTATTTTTTCTGTTATAAATTCAGGCACTGAACACTACCTGTTAAACTAAGTTTAAACCAAATCCTATTCCAATGATTACCCAGTGATCGATCCAGGGGGTTTCCTGGTTTTCAGGAAACCTTCAGCCCTGTCAATTTCCATTTAAAAACAGATTTACTTTTTTTATTTGAAATACCCCCTTTGATCATTTTTCTAATCCACCATGGGATCAGTCTGTGGATCCACCAATGAGTACAGAATTTCTTTGATTTGGATATTAGTTATTATTAATGTAGTTATTCCTTTGGAAAGCAGCTGTCAGACACACCACATACACCATTACCACGAGGTACATGTACTACAGTGGTCATCCCTCTGTGTGAAGGTTGACCATTACAGTTATTCCTCTTAAGTCCCAGGTAGATCTATCATATACCCGCTACACGATAGCTACACCATATAGCTACATGTACACCATAGCTACATACAACACCTCATCTATCCTCAAAAGTCCAGATCATCAACAGGCTTATCAGCTTAGAAATAGGTAACATATATTTTTTCATTTGGCTCTAAAAATGTTTTAAACATTAAATAAAAATTGCCTGTCGAAAGATTCACTTAACTTCTCTGACAACAGAATGTACAAATATATTGTTTAACTTTTTTATATTGAAAACAGCATGAATTTAAAATTAGGCTGACCATGCTGCTTTTTGTTGTAAATCAGTTGTGACATGCTATCAGACTCTGATCCCCTGAGGACAGGTAAGAACATACAAGAAACATACAAGAAGGAAAAGTGATGGAAGGACAAACAATTTGACTATTTCTCCAGCAAAAGTGATAAAATGTGCAGACTTGTTGGGTATTCTAATGTTTCATTACATTTTCTGACCTTTTTTGGGTGTTAGGGTACAAAACAAAAGGTGAGAAACCTAGATAACACTTCTTCAATTATTTTACTGTATCGGTTGTTTCAGACAATGCTGTAAGTCTAAAACGTTATTGTAATTCTATCTTAGCTTGTGGTAAATATATTTTGTTTGATGTTAATCTACTATTGAACATTTAGTTTTTGGGTTGACAGTTAATAGGCTATACTGATCCCTTTGATACATAGTGTTTGAGATTGAATCAGTATTGTGTTATATGTTGATTTCATTCTTTTTTTCTGTCTTTACTGGCATTTTGCTAAATAAAATATTTGAATGAAATTGCCATGATAAAAAAAATGTTCAATAGATCACTATAGGACTTGGTTCTCATTACAAAGATTGTACCTCTTGTGTTTGTGAAAAATTTGAAAAGAAATGGTGAAGTGAAAATTAAAAGAAATGATAATATTTCTTTATAAAGTATCTGATAGATATTAAACTGCATGCTGGGAAGTACCAAGCATGCAGGTAACTTGGTCAGGGCTTCAAGAGCTCTGCAGACCAAGAATAAATCAAAGTACCAGGAGCACTATAAGCTGTCCCGATATCTATCTTGAAACTGCCCACTCGGGTGCCGGAGCTGAGTAGGTTACGAGAGTGGAGCACCTGGTGGGAGGAACACAAAATTCATAAATAAAAACTACAAAAATCAAAGACGCAAGGCTACAAGGTCAACAAAGGTCATCGTGAGGTCATCACAGGGTCAAACAATCACAACACAAATACATTAATACAAATCACATTTTGTGAGATTTTAGTGTATTACATAACGAAATAAAATGCATGCAATATTGCAACTTATGCAATATTTATTTACTGATATTAATTAGTAGATTATCTCATTTACAAGTCAGAATATTTTGTAGACTGACAGTACTATAATTTAGCAACAGACAACTCAATAAACACAGTTAAAATACAGCAATCAAATTTGATGCATTCAAATATAAAATTAATTTTAGGGTTTTTTTAGCAGTTGAGAAAAAAACCATGAATGAAATAGCGAACAAATCCATTGTGCTTTATAGATGAGCAGTAGCTACCAAAAAGTGGTTATATATTGTGTTAGGAAATAGCTGTGACGCTCTAACACTGATCAGCAGGTACTACCAGGGGAGACAATTGAACATTTACCAAAAACAGGGGAGACACAATCTAATATAAAAACAGGGAAGACAATCTAAGATCAAAAGGGGGGGGGGGGGGGAATCTAATATCAAACAGGTTGGACAAACTAATGAAGTCAATATAGCAGGGAAGACATTCTAACATTTACCAAATCAAGGGATACATACAATTTAACATATATTTTAAAAATAAAGAAGTATAATCTTACAATTGCAACAAGGAGAGATAATCTAAGTTACAACAGGGCTACACAATCTAATAATCACCACAATAAAATTCTTTTGTGATTTCTTATCTATAGTGAGTTTACTGGCAAAACAATGGAATGTATGATGATGACATTTAGATGAGAATTGTTTCAAAGTGTCAATGTAATAAATTTGTGACATCAATTTTTCAAATTCCTAAGACATTGCTAAAACATGATTGGATGAAACATGTGATACATATTAACAATGTTCATGCTTAAATATTTTTTCTTTTTCAAAAGTTTTTACCTAATTTTATTTTCAAAATGAAGAGGACCACAGCTACCAACATGTATAACCCTGGTTATTTCCTAAGGTAAAAGCTCTGTGAGACATTATGTTGTAGTTAAAAAAAAAGGTATACCAGATAAAACTTGGTGTTTGCAGATTATTAGCAAAAGTTTTGTCTTTATATTTGTAAAATCTGGTACAAGATGGGTTCAACCTGAGGACAAGCTTCTCATTGGTAACGACAGTAATATCTAGTTGCCAAAATTATGATAAAGACAACAGTACATATTGACACATTCATTTTGATATTTCCTACTTTCTTGTTGTAAACAATTTCGATTTTTGATAAGCTTCGTCATGAAACCACAAATCTTTGTACACCTGGGCGATCATTGCCAAGTGGAAGTAAACGGACTTAAAACTTGAACGAATTGTTTGGCTTGTACAGGATAATTACAAAATACCAACTCTTCAATTTTTTCAATAGCATCATATAGTTCTTACCTTTGGAATCTTTGACACACTATCTTTATTTCCTACAAATCTGGGGCCTGACAGAATTATGTATACAGAATTCCTTGTACAGATATGGGGCTTTACAGGGACCTATAGAGAAATATGTTGAGATCAAGGACCATGACGATCATTATGTACAGATCTGGGGCCTGACAGACTGACATGTACAGATCTGGGGCCTGACAGACTGACATGTACAGGTCTGGGACTCCTGGAGGGAGCTTGCACTTACCGTCAGCGTGATGATTCTGTCAAACAACATGGCAGGCGCCATATGGAAGTCAAAAACAAAATACTGCAATGAATGAAAGTACAAAGTTAATCATCGGACGTCACAACAATAGAAAGCTTACTCCAAACAGTTTGTTAACATAACAAGGGGAATAACTTACTTTTGTCTGATAGATAGTAATTCTTCTGTTTCTAATCAAAGAAAGATTAATCCTTTAATTATAAAACAACAAACATCTCTGTTAAATACTGACAAATATCTGATACTTCCAATGCGAATGAAAAATCACATTATGTATTGTTATTAGAAAGAATTGAAATCACCATTGTAGCATTTATACTTTCCTTTATAACAATTATAATTAAATCTCAAAATATCTATATAAACATTGAGATCACTGTTCCTGCAAATCTTCCAAACTCATGTTGGGATGCTGAGCTAATAAGGACATGCTCTAACTAACCCAAGATTGGACATTGAGCCCAATAGGCCTTACTGATCCATATTGGCACATTCAGACCATATAGGCCTTGCTGTTCCATGAAGGGACATTTAGCCCATACGCTTTGTTGTCCTACATTGGGATGCCGACTTTCAATGGGACATACCACACTGTAGTAAGGACAGTTCAATGTGACGTACCTCGCTGTAGTAAGGACAGTTCAATGTGACGTACCTCGCTGTAGTAAGGACAGTTCAATGGGACGTACCTCGCTGTAGTAAGGACAGTTCAATATAACGTACCTCGCTGTAGTAAGGACAGTTCAATGTGACGTACCTCGCTGTAGTAAGGACAGTTCAATGTGACGTACCTCGCTGTAGTAAGGACAGTTCGTCGATTCCTTCACACTGGTGTACTTTTTCTGGTCTCCGACCTGGACACACACCACAGGATCCATGTTGAGTCCCGCCAATTGTCGCGCTTCTATCACAGTTATGCAGACCTTAACACAGACAAAGGTCAAAAGTCAAGGTCAGATGAATTTGAAGGAGTGTGAAATGCAGTGTGAAGTGTCACCATTTGTAAAAATGTTGTTTATTGATTGGAATATGTCCAGGAACCCAATGTTGTTATAAACTCATAAACATTGAAAACAAATCCATTCCTTTAATATTAATGTTAAGTGGATGAACCTCTAAAGGGGTTAAAGTACTAGGGAAATACAAAGGTTATCAGGGGTTAAAGTACTAGGGAAATACAAAGGTGATCAGGGGTTAAAGTACTAGGGAAATACAAAGGTGATCAGGGGTTAAAGTACTAGGGAAATACAAAGGATATCAGGGGTTAAAGTACTAGGGAAATACAAAGGTTAACAGGGGTTAAAGTACTAGGGAAATACAAAGGTGATCAGGGGTTAAAGTACTAGGGAAATACAAAGGTGATCAGGGGTTAAAGTACTAGGGAAATACAAAGGTTAACAGGGGTTAAAGTACTAGGGAAATACAAAGGTTAACAGGGGTTAAAGTACTAGGGAAATACAAAGGGTATCAGGGGTTAAAGTACTAGGGAAATACAAAGGTGATCAGGGGTTAAAGTACTAGGGAAATACAAAGGTTATCAGGGGTTAAAGTACCAGGGAAATACAAAGGATATCAGGGGTTAAAGTAATAGGGAAATACAAAGGTTATCAGGGGTTAAAGTATTAGGGAAATACAAAGGTTATCAGGGGTTAAAGTACTAGGGAAATACAAAGAAAGTCTTTAATATTGTAATCAAAGTAGAACACATGAATATTCTTCAGCTAGTTCTCGTAGGGTCTTTCCATTGCATTGATAATCGAGGACCAATTCCAACTTTGATGGAAACTCCCAAATGGTCTGACTGACTTATATGTAGAAACATTAGAAAACATTTCCACCTAACCTTATTACCACAAGTGTGGCTGTTCCTTCCAAAGCTTTTTAAAAGTGTTTTATAAACCAAAAGAAACCACAAAGAAAAACAAAACAGAATTTAGATATACTATGCAGCATCATATATGTTTGTAAGCAACTGGGTCTCATACCATCATTGATATTAGAATACACAACTCTATTTAATCTTTCTTTGTGTGTAACTGTTTCAACATAAGATGAAATGAATCATGCTTTTTTCATTTTCACTGAATATTTTCAGACTGATCTAGATATTTTGACACCCAAAATTTTCAAAGTTTAAAAGTAAACACATTAATTTAAACTGATGCTGTTAGTTGAGAAAACCTCCAAAACTGCTTACCTGAAAATCCTGGGCTTTTAAAGATGCTGGCTCCATTTGCTGTGATCTCCCCTTGTTTCTGCAAAGTTTGGTATTAATCAGTATGACAGGTGACCTTTAAACATTGGATAGTCCTATATATATGATGTCATTGAACTTTTAACCTCTGACCCTGTTATCATGAAAATTTCAAACTATGTAAATGTTGTTAAATTCAATATTTATATAATTCACCCTTTGTTTATACAACACTGAGTCCCCTTGGCCAGGAGACACTCCATACCTCATTCTATCAAAATCAATTCAGTCGTCCTGGACCATAAGTCGTTCAAATGAAAATCTGACAAACAAAAAACTTGCCACTGCAAAAGTTCACATGCCTCTCAGACATGTGAGCTAAAAAGAAGTGGTTTTCAAGATAAGAATATATGTTTTAGTAAAGATGGAAGTTTTTTTCTAAGATAACATGGGGATAATTTTGCAACATTTTTTTTAAAATAACCCCTTGAATTAAATCATGCAAAATCCTGCTATGTATTTTTCACATTAGTTTACTAAATTTTAATATATGTGATTATATGACTTTGAACTTTGACCTCTACAGAACAGATCAATGAAGTGTTAATTTACACACAACAACATTTGCTTTCCAGCTCATTCATGTAACCATTAATTCTCTTAGAAGTTATTATCATTGGTTAACATTTCTGTTACAAGTTAAATACCAAGACCTTTCACATTCCTGAACAGGAAATAAGAATTTATTGACAATCTAATTTCAGGAAGCCTAATTTAATTGCATGAAGCCTAATTCTAATGGATATTCTTAGCCCAATAATGGTTTCATAGGTCACACTGAAGTTAACATACTGTAAGATCTCACAATCTTTCTGTTGTTCAGAATGTACAGATGTATCTTACCTGTGTTTTACCTTTCTCTCGCCTGTATTTTCACCTGCATATTACCTGTATTCCTGGCTGTATTCTCATCTGTATTATATCTGTATCTTACCTGTATCTTAACGTATTCTCACCTGTATATTACCTGACATTACCTTAATCTCACGTGTATATTACCTGTATCTCACTTGCACATAACCTGTATTTTCTCAGTTTCTTACCTGTCACTCACACTTCAACAACCCCTCCCCCCTACAACAGTTACAAAATATCCCCCAACTACCTCCTGTTGGTGACCGGTGTTGCTATGGCAGAGGACTGACTGCCCTGGTCATCGTCCAGCTGTTCAGCCCGGGCCCCCAACATGGACGCCACCTCAGCCGCCCGTGCATCAAGGCTTGGATCTGTTGATCAAACAATTACAAAAAAGTGGCTATACATTTTTTTTTATTAACCTTGGAACAGACATTTTCTTGATAATTACAGATGTAGAAAGTTCTTACAGCTGCTAAACATATGATAAAAGAAAGAGAAATGCAGCAATTTTTCCCACTGGTTTTGCATTCCTTTGCTATATTGAAACACAATGGATGATATCCCTTCGTTTTCAGTACATATATTTTTTTTTAAAAATCATTCAAAAGAAAATTTATTATTTCTTCTTTTCATTTTTCAATAATTGCACGATAATAGTTTTAAGTCTGCATATATTTTCTTTATGAGCACATATCAGAAATATGCCAAGTGATGAACATGTTTGAGGTGTTTTGCTACAGAAGGTACAGAAGGTCCTATTTCGTACCTGTTTCAATCTCATCAATGAGGGACTGTTTCTCATCAACATCTGACCTCTTCCCTGACCCCATCATCATCTTCACCACTGAGGGAAAATTTTTCACACTGAAAAATATAAGATTCAATGTGGAAATGTCCAAGAAATACTGTGCCGGAATAGAAATTCATTAAAGATCTAGAGTCAGTAGTTAACAAGTCCACTAGTCTGATGCCTACCTCTTGGTGAGAGGGTACATTTTATGCATGACACCAGTACTAGTAAATTGTATGTCAAGCTGATAATAAATTATAAATATTAATTGCAAAAATTTAGGTCAGACAAGTGGAATCTTTCAAAATGTGCCTGACGTGGGTTAGTACTCTAAATTTAATATGAAATTGCCATTTTCAGGTGGTGACATGCAAGTTAAGCAGACATTTTCATCCTCGTCATGCTCTGTAGGAGTAGCAAGATAATGCCCAAACTCCTATAAAAGCTGTGACAGTCCCTTCCCCAGGCCAATCTTTAATTCCCCCAAGCCGTGACAGTCCCCTACCCCTCCCCAGTCCAATCTTTAATTCCCCAAAGCCGTGACAGTCCCCTACCCCTCCCCAGTCCAATCTTTAATTCCCCAAAGCCGTGACAGCCCCCTACCCCTCCCTGGCCTGATATTTATCTCCCCCAAGCCGTGACAGTCCCATACCCCTCCATAGTCTAATCTTTATCTTCCCCAAGCCGTGACAGTCCCCTACCCCTCCCCAGTCCTATCTTTAATTCCCCCAAGCCGTGAAGTCCCCTACCCCTCCATAGTCTAATCTTTATCTCCCTCAAGCCGTGACAGTAACCCTACCCCTCCATAGTCTAATCTGTATCTCCTCCAAGCCGTGACAGTCCCCTACCCCTCCCTAGTCTGATATTTATCTCCCCCAAGCCGTGACAGTCCCATGCCCCACCATAGTCTAATCTTTATCTTCCCCAAGCCGTGACAGTCCCCTACCCCTCCCTAGTCTGATCTTTATCTCCCTCAAGCCGTGACAGTCCCCTACCCCTCAATAGTCTGATATTTATCTCCCCCAAGCCATGACAGTCCCCTACCCCTCCCTAGTCTGATATTGATCTCCCCCAAGCCGTGACAGTCCCCTACCCCTCCATAGTCTAATCTTTATTTCCCCCAAGCCGTGACAGTCCCCTACCCCTCCCTAGTCCCTACTATGGACTCCAGTGAGCCAACTTACATAACATAATGAGTTTGTCTGTTTTTCATTCCCTCTATATACCACAACCCCTACCCTACCACCTTTACCATTACCTTCCCCCACTACCAATCATCCTTGAAAATCTTCCTATCTTTAGCCTTTGCGGTAGTACATACTATCTTGGTGACTACCCATAGAGGTGCCCTACCCCCCCACTTATACCAGTACCTACATGAATCCTTTCCCTTCACTTACCAACATACTTTCACCTCTTTTTCCTACCCCTACCCAAGATTTACATACTGTTTAGGTGACCTGCCCCCGGAGGTACGTGAGGTTTTGGAGGCGAGACTGAGACGTGACTCCCTAAGGGAAGCTTTGGATGGGCTCGTCAGGATGGAGTCTGTGTCTCCAAAGCTGCTGCGACTCCCCAGATTGAGCTGGTTACGCTCCTCCTCTGTCAGCGGCACACGTAGCTCATCACTCTTTAGCTGTTTGAATTCTCCTTTCTGCCATAATCCCACAGACCCATCCGGAGCATTGTATGTCAGCTCAAATGTCATCGTCGTCTGAAAGTGGACAAAGTAAATTAGCACAAACATTTTGGATGGTGAACTTGTCAAAATTCCAATTCATAGATTTTGGCTAATTAAGTAATTTCCCATAACTATGTTGCATATTCGTTAAGGATAGATCCCACCTACTATAAAATGCATTTGCTCAAAAAAAGTTCCAAAATAATACCCTCAATGACATTAGCTGTTAATAGGATGTTTTAAACCCAACTAAGGGTTACCCTTTAATTGTGGTTTATAGTCACTTAAAGCTACACAAGATCACATGCATTTAGTAACAACCAGATCATCCTCAATGCTACTTCGTAATTATTCAAGGGACATAACCATTTTACTAATCAGAAGTTAGGATCATTTAATATCCTTTCATAAAGAACCGTATACAAAATGTCAATCTCTCCCAGGATTCTTTGCCCCATGCTTCTAACTTGTCTTTAAATAATCAACAGACTTTATCAGTTTATCTCCGAGTCCCAGTTATCACCTTAATGGAGTTTCTTAGATTATTATTCTAGCAGAACACATTTGTTCATATGCAGGATAAAATTAAGGCACTGTACAGCACACAATTCACAATACATAGGAAAAACACACTATAATGTATTGTTACACCTCAAGTGAATTTCTAGCTATTTGATTGGTTGGGAGAAAATTAAACAAAAATCTCTGTCACACTCCGAAAATACATTGGTTTTAAGGGGCGCGGGTGATATTGCCATGAGACAGTGAAAAATATCACATGCGCGAAAAATGTGCGTTCACCGCTTCGTTTCCCCACATTGATGGTCACAAGAACGTTTGATGGCAACAGCCAATTTTATCAAGCGCCGGTGCGATAGCGATTGTAAACAGCAGACTATCAACAAACAAGATGTCATTATCGAGGTTTGCTGCCGTTTCTGAGCTACAAAAACTTTTGGTGTAACAAGATAGATATGACATTCATTAGCAGGTGACAGTGAATATTGTCAACCCTCAAAAACCCTTTGTCACCCTCGTCTCTGCCTCATGTGACAATGGTTTTCTCGGGTTGATAATATTCACTGTCACCTGCTAATGAATGTCATATTTATATATTGTGATCAGGAAGATGTTTCACTGAACAAAATTACAGTTCTAAATTGTATTAGAATATCCATTTCTATTTCCAAATTAACAGCAAGATTCATGACATTTCTCATAGAATATCTACCAGAAAAGTAGACAATTTCAAAGCATTTGAAAGGATTTGAAAGTAAAATAAGGAAAGAGGCAATTCACACTGTCTAGGTCAAAGACCTCTCATACAGTGGTGTGTGATGAAATTGAAAATTTCTATTAACTTTTTTGAAATTCCCATGGTAAAACAAGAAAATGGATTTTTTACTGTCTTTGCTCCATATCTGCCATCATTGTTTACATGATTTATGAGAACGATAGTATCACTAGACAATGGTGTTACACTACAACAGGAAACTCTGACAGAAGACCGAACCTAAAGATCAGTATAACACATACACGACCGACATATCAACTACCACAAAGAAATATCTCAGAATTTATGTCCTAAGAGATCCATTTTCAACAGCCCTTATGGTAGCGGAAACGAAACCTATGAAACAACATTTCTATTCATCGTTATTGTGAGTAGATGTTTTCCTATCAGTTTGAAGAGTTAAAAGTTTCCACTTTACATTTCAGATGCAGTGTCACATTTGAGAGAAACTGAAATCTTTAACGTCGCACCATCAAATCAATAGATCCCCGTTAATGCACTCGAGATGGTGCTCATAGTTGACAGCTCCCTAAAACCTACAATTTCACAGCCCTTTGTTTTCTGAATAGTGGCCCATGTGTCTTTGAATCTACAACTTCATCGCCTTGCATGTACACTGGTAATTGGCCCATACTGTCGAACCTTTAACTTCACATCCCCCTGTTTACTGGTAGATGGCCCATATTTTGCTTTCAAACCCACAGCTTTGCAGCCCCATGAAACCTGGTGGTTTGACCTTTAGCTTTAATTCAAACCTATAATTTCACAGCTAGCCGTAAGTTCACTGGTTAATAGTCCTTACAAGATAACAAGATCTATAGGGATTAAAACTGCCATACATGCCAGCCTTTCAAATTGTTCACTGGGAACAAAATCTGGAACAAAATCTCAAAATGTCTTAGAATTTTTTTTTCCAATGATTCCTATTTGACAAAATGAAAGGTTAACATGTACTAGTATATGCAAGTTTAAATAAATAAAAAAAAAAATATGTAGAGAACTCTGTTGATTTCAAAACCTGTGGTCTGCCTCCTTTGAAAAAATATGGATACTTGGCTGTATGCAAACTAAGACTTACTCTGACCCTTAAAATACCTCAATGACATGTTTGTATGACAAAATTAAACCTCACAAACAAAAGTTGCCTATTAAGAAAAGCTCCACAGAGATAGAGGCTTAAATCTTTGAAATTGTTAAAGAAATAAGTCATGTGTTCAGGAATGCAGTTACATTTTTTCCACTGCTTTCTAAGTTTTGTAATGGTCCAAACCCCTTTCTAAATCATAGCCATTTCATGGTCAGTAATTTTTAAATGAAATAGGTTTTTTTTCTCATGCAAAAATTAGCCATCAACACACTTTCAATAAATAGGGAAACTTAAAGCTATGAAATTGTAAAAGAAATCAAAACATTTGTGTATAAACTCAGATAAAAGTTTTCCCACTACGTTCGCGAGGTCCAAACTCAGATAAAAGTTTTCCCACTACGTTCTCCAGGTCCAAACTCAGATAAATGTTTTCCCACTACGTTCTCCAGGGCCAAACTCAGATAAAAGTTTTCCCACTACGTTCGCGAGGTCCAAACTCAGATAAAAGTTTTCCCACTGCGTTCTCCAGGTCCAAACTCAGACAAAAGTTTTCCCACTACGTTCTCCAGGGCCAAACTCAGATAAAAGTTTTCCCACTCCGTTCGCGAGGTCCAAACTCAGATAAAAGTTTTCCCACTCCGTTCGCGAGGTCCAAACTCAGATAAAAGTTTTCCCACTGCGTTCTCCAGGTCCAAACTCAGATAAATGTTTTCCCACTACGTTCTCCAGGATCAAACTCAGATAAAGGTTTTCCCACTACGTTCTCCAGGATCAAACTCAGATAAAGGTTTTCCCACTACGTTCTCCAGGTCCAAACTCATTTCCCAACCATATATCCATTTCAAGGTCAGTAATTTTTAAAACCAAGTAGGCAAAGTAATATTAAGTAACATTGGATAAAAGGTTCTAAGAAATTAGTTGTTATTTTAACTTCATTACTCCTATATCAATATGTTTCTATGTGATGCATTAGTGCATTAAGCCCGCGGCGCCGGAGGAATACAGGAAGCAGAAATGCTTTTAAGCTAGTCCACTTATCATTCATGTATACATAACAGTAAGCTTGGATCAATAAGATTGGAGTATTCATCAAGTCATCAAGTCATAAACTTGACCTTTTTTCTAATCTACCCGAGATAAAGGCCACAGATTTAGACTTATTCTTCACACATCATATCATATAGCTGTAAGCCAATAATTAAGATTTGGCAACCAGAAATACCCATACATTTTCCATTACATAACTTTACTTATTACCAATATCTGTCAATTCTCGTAATAAAAAAACCAAACAAACCTTTATAAAGTATCTGTATTGCAAATGAGATACTCTTCCTCCATATAAAAACAGTTCTCCATGTATATATCATACTATATGCTGTGTATATATGAAGGCTTTAAATCAGAGAGATAGTGCTCTACTGTAGTCACCAACTCAGGACACTTATACATAAGTAATATTCTGATAACAAAGAAAAATGCAGATGAAGGACTAAATGCTGTATAGGTTTTGTGTGCTCATGAAGAAGGGCATAGAATATAATAATGACGTTGCTCTTAAACAGAAAAGGTGGCCATTTACTGTTTAGTATATTCAGGATAATTATTGCCCCATTTCTTTCAGGACAAAGATGATGTCTGTCAATCCTTGCACATTTGACAAAATTAATTCTTGTTTTACTCTGACCTCATACATGATAGCTGTCAACCATTCTACAATAGAGATAATATAAATATCAACCATTCTACAATAGAGATAATATAAATAGCAACCATTCTACAATAGAGATAATACAAATATCAACCATTCTACAATAGAGATAATATAAATACATTTGTTTTTGGGTACAAAAATATTGTCCACATATTCAGCCAATATGTGCACTTTTCCTTTGTACTTATTGACCTTTGACCTATAAATAAAAGTGCTAGTAACCCAAATATTGTTCAGTGTGCACCCTTTGTGTGTGAGTCAGATATACCTCAAGTTTCATCAAAACATCTTCAATGACTTAAAATTAACAGCCGAGGAAAGTTTTCGAACTAAACAGGTTCCAATTTATTTGGAGTTGTCACACATTTATATATGACGTTCTGTATGAAACATATTACTCAGGATAATAATCTTATGAAAGAGATAAAAACAGAAATGCAATTTATTTCATTTAAATTACCTTGTTTATCAGATGAAATCATCCGTAATTATCTAAATAGTGGCAGAAAGGGATACCCTAGCGCCCTCTAGGTTCATGCCTACGCCTACAAACTGATCACAACGTTACTTTGAAATAAGGGTGTCCTCGTCGCAAACATCATGTAATTTAAAATCAGAATACCAAATTTATAGAAATGAGATATTAACTTTTCCAATGTGACAAACAGATCAGTTTCTCTTGCCTCACTATCTTTACAACGTATGCCTTAACATCCTTCACCAGTTTTTGTCCCATTAACATCAAATTCAATTTCTTCTCTTTTCACTGGTAATACCATTCTCATTTTTCACAAAAATGCATTTAGGTTTGACATTGCCATGAATTAAGTGGTATTAACAGAATACAAGTGAAACCAATGATAGTTCATTGGCGCCAGCAATAGCAAAATGTTAATATTTTAAATAGTTTCAAAAATTGTATTATTTTCAAAACAAATTGAAATCATGAAGTTCTAGTCTTGCACTTTTTTTAAATCACGTTCAATATGTAAAAAAAAATACAACAACAAAATTAAAAGTCAGTTTTGATGCAAAACAGTTCAAGCCATGGAAAGGTTATATCCCATAATTTCAGCCTTGTCATTATATCATACCTAGACCTCGGATGGAAATACAAGCACCACAAGAGATTGAAGGGTGCATACTACCTGAATTGAAACAAATTTTAAAAATCTACTCCTAAAAAACTTTAAAATCAGTTTTGATGCAAATTCCCAAAAAACTAAATACTGTATGAGATGCCTGAACTAATAAACCATTCTTCTGTGATAGAAGTTTTATCAAAGTCAGGTTCATAAGATAATACAATCATGAAGTGGAGTTTAATTTTCCTTTTTTGACAATTATTTTGTATAGCTGTGAATTGATTTCTAAAGACATGCATTTAATGAGTTGGATTCAAAATTTCATTAAATCATCCGATATGAGTTTCAAAGATTTTCTGTGAAATTGTTAGTCATCTGAAATAGAGCAGACAGGATTTCGTGATGCATGTAGATTTACATTTAAACACATTTTTTCATTTAAGAAGTCATATATTCCTTCTCTAGTTCCAATTTCATATTACACCTGGATATCAAAATGAAAGTAGGGCAGAAATATGAAACATCACACCAATGGGGCACTCAATTCTGGATTCTTATTTTCCTAAACAAGGTCACTTAAAATAACTCATTATTTTGATGCAGACCATAGTTATTCAACATATGACTTCAAAACAGACCATAAATATTCAACACCATTGCAACCAAATTTAAATATCATGGAGACCAGACCACAATACCATGGTGACCATACCCAATCATCCAAAGCAACCTGATTGAAAATAAAGTAATGCCATCATATTGATACTTTAAATTTTATCACAGAACTGACTGCCACAAATTTGACTAAATTCAGTGTAAGTGTATTGCTGTATTTACCCAACAATTGACCCATGTTTACCAATAAGCCCACCGATACCTATCGAAGGTTTATATAAATGCCAACAAGTGTTATTTTATTGTCCGGTTATAAACCCCACACTCCACCAATATAACTACAGTACGAGGAGATTAAACACTGAGCCCTCCTATAACACGATCAAACCTACAGTCTATTGTTTCATCATTGACCTCCAGTAAAACTGGTGACAAGCACACAAAAACAAAAATGTACAAATTTAATCGAAATATAAAAAAGACATTTGAATCTTGCAAAACTTTTCCAATAAAGAATTTAAACAGTCTATGTAACTTCTTCAGCAACTCAGAATTCAATTTCATGCCTTTTATGAAATTATTAAAACTTCAGACTTGTATTTCCTCCCGTAATAAGATACTTTTTATTGATATACTGCTAGAAGGAGTTACAATGCACTTGATTTTTTCTTAAAGTCGTTCAAAACGAAATGTAGATCTTTGAGATGTTAAGTGTCGGAGTAATTCTATAGAAGGAAGGACCCACCATTATATCTTCCCATCGTCAGACTTTCTTCAGGCCTTCTACAGCCGTCTCATCAGGGTATCTAACCAATATTAGATTTGGAAAGCTCAAGAATAACGCTGACTGCTGTTATTCAATAGCTAAATTTGTTTCTGTTTCCTCTTATTGTTCAACAAGACAGTTGATAAAATGTAAAACATCGCCATGGAAACCCAAAGAATTGTTAGGAAGAAGGAAGTCAATAACCTTAATATGACTAGGTGGAAAAAAAAACTGCTTTTTGTCTCAGCTTATGGAGACCTAAACTTATACCTTATTTTGGTTCAAAGGGGGATAATTCACTGAAATAAGTGCCACAAGCTTCTGAAGGTGATGTTATTTTTTGGAAGTGAAAGGGCAAAGGGCAAAGGTCATCAGGAGAAAGGGCTAAATATGAGATGCTTTAATGATTTCCTTGGTGAACACAAATTTCATTACTAAAGTGTGTCTGACACACCACAGAGGTGCGAGGATCTCAGGTTGTCACCTCATGTGGACACAGGTGACATTTTCTACTCAAACCAGTTCCAAGGTGCATAATTTGTATGTAGCAGACGGTTATGTTGTGACAGATGATGTCACTGTGATATCAGAACATCCGAAAAAATATGGTCTGCATTTTTATGAGTTCCATTAATGTGAACTTAATGGTGACTAAAAAGTAGGAACATTATTACTGTGATAAAAAACTTGTAGTTTCTTTTTCCAATTAATATACGTCTTTACAGGAACTTCTATCTATAGAATGAACTACTCCATGCTTACTGCGCCTTATCAGACTGTATACTCTCTAATGTATAAGAACAGTAAATTTGTGTTAAGTAATTGTCAAATAACCTCAATCCATAAAAACGTATGAAACCGAACACCTTGATAATCAAATACTCTCCCTAGACCCCAACCACTATAGTGAGTTATAATAAAGTTCTACAGTTATGTGAATATTCACAAATGTTAAACTAATCAAGATGACATTATATGATAAACCAATATTGGACACCATGCTTCCTACTATATTTTATATAGATATACACTCTGTACTCTTTTCAGAGTAAATCCTATTTTTGTAGAAGTTGATATCTTCAGAAATATTATTTTTAAATTAGTGCTTTTTAGGCAGACCGTCCCCAGTGAACAAATTATTTTTAAAAACCAGAAAAAAAGTTGATTTTCATCTTAAATGTACACTCTGTTATAAAATAAACTCTTTTACTTATTGTATGTATATATCAAACAAAATTGGGGAACATTTCTTGAAGGAATGATATTTTCTACTGTTAATATGAAGGATGGGTTGTATTAATACAATAATTGGACAAAGATTGTAAATCAATAGTCATAATGACAAAACAAGAGGCCCAAGAGGGCCTGTATCGCTCACCTGAATATTTAAGCAGTCATAGCAAAATATTCTCATTAAATATTATATTGCACTCAAAATATTTCCCTCGCAAACTTTGTTGGCTCCATCTGTTGAAACTACCAGCAAAATATTATTATAAGATTCTATGCTTTTTGATTCTTCTTCAGAAGTTGCTTGACATATTTTTCCCTGTGATCTTGTAAGTAGGTCAATGTCATTTTCCTTCTCAAATTGGTTAGCTCTATTCCAAAAAGCTACCAGCCAAATCTTATGAATCCATTCCTTTTAGTTCTCAAGAACAAATCCATTAAAATGTTGTTGACCTCTGTGACCTCTAAAGTAGGTTGAGGTCATTTTCATTTGCAAACTTTGGTGAGCTCTATCCCGGGAAGTCACCAGCCAAATATTATAATTTTATGCCTTTTAATTCTTCAGAAGAAGCTGTTTGAACTGTTTGACATATTTGAACGCTGTGACCTTGAAAGTAGGTCAAGGTCATTTTCATTCGCAAACTTTGTTTGGCTCTTTCCCAGGAAGCCACCTGCCAAATATTAAGATTTTATAACTACCAGTTCTTCAGAAGAAGTCGTTTAAAGTGTTTGACATATCTGCCTCATGTGACCTTAAAAGAAGGTCAAGGTCATTTTCATTCTCAAACTTTGTTCGGCTCTTTCCTAGGAAGCTACAAGCCAAATATAGAGATTATATACCTTTCAGTTCTTCAGAAGAAGTCGTTTGAAGTGTCTGACACATTTGACTCCTGTGACCTTGAAAGAAGGTCAAGGTCATTTTCATTCTCAAACTTTGTCGGGCTCTATCCAAGGAAGCCATCAATCAAAAATAAAGATTCTATACCTTTCAGTTCTTCAGAAGAAGTCATTTGAAGCTTTTGACATATATGACCCCTGTGACCTTGAAAGTAGGTCAAACTAGTTTTCATTCTCAAACTTTGTTGGGCTCTATCCCAGGAAGCCACCAGCCAAATATAAAGATTATATACCTTTCAGTTCTTCAGAAGAAGTCGTTTGAAGTGTTTGACACATTTGACCCCTGTGACCTTGAAAGAAGGTCAAGGTAATTTTCATTCTCAAACTTTGTTGGGCTCCATCCAAGGAAGCCATCAGCCAAATATGAAGATTCTATACCTTTTAATTCTTCAGAAGAAGTCGTTTGAAGTTTTTGACATATTTGACCCCTGTGACCTTGAAAACAGGTCAAGGTCATTTTCGTTCTCAAACTTTGTAGGGCTCCTACCAACGAAGCTTTCAGCCAAATATCATGACTCTAGGCCTGTCCGTTCTTCAGAAGAAGTTGTTTAAAGGAAAAGTTGACGGACGAGGACGGACGGACGGACGGACGACGGACGGACGACGGACGCCGCGCCACGGCATAAGCTCACTTGGCACTTCGTGCCAGGTGAGCTAAAAAGGAGAACTCTCCCAGAAAATCTCCTAAACCCTTCAATTTTTATTGTGATTGATGATGTTACTTCCTGTGAAAGGAAAATGCCAAGATGACCTCAAAATGTCTTGGAAGGTGTTTTTTTATAAGCATGTGCTTAGTCAAATACCAACCCTCATTACTACATTATTGCCGTCCAGCAGAGAGTCGGAAATCTTGACGTGTCCGACATCCACCAGCTCTTGGAGGATCATACGAAATGTGCCAATCAGTCTGAAACAACAGAAAACACAACAAGTAAAAACGCCGCTCATAATTCTCATCTTCTCTTGACATAAAATAGGCAAAAACGGCCATACCAAATCAAATAACCGAAATGTATCTTTCATATCAGCCAACAGTACCGTCAGTAGTAACTGGCCTTTGTCAGAGAAATTGGGATTTATGACTCTGTCAATTGTTTACAGTTGAACAATCATTTTTCCTCATCTCTTCATCTTATTTCTCATTCTCAAAGGAGTTCCAGGCCCCATGTTCTGTTCTCGAAGGAGTTCCAGGGCCCATGCAGGGAATGTTAGGCCAAATATATGGATTTCCGGGGGGCAATATACAGAGGGACAATCTTCACACTCGGTGTACTGAGCAAGATTTAATGAAAAGTTATAACCTCGTAAATCTTCGTAAATCAGTTTCCTGTTTTTGCCAGACCTCTGGGATACCGTTACAGCTCTCAATTTCTAATATCTTATTAAAAAAAGTAAGCAATTACTGTAGAGTTACTTCCCCTGATTTTTGTTTGTTTGTTCAAAAAAAACCAGCAGTTTAGATAGTTCTTAACCAAAGCATTAAAAAACAAATTTTGGGAACGGTGATTATGTTCTGATCGATCGCTAATCTTCACAAAGCTCCTAAATTTCAGTTGCAATGTTGATGTCATCTGCATCACACCTTGTAGTAGATCCAGGTTGCTCACAGTTCACACTTATTGGCTTTATTCTGTATTGATTCTTCTCCATTTCATGAATTACTTTTAACCTGTCGACAAATGTCAAGTGCTTTGTACCTTTATCATTCCATGAAAATTTCCATTTCATCCTGTGCATGTTTTTTGAAGGTCTAAAAAAATAGTACTGCAACAACTTTCATCAAAAATACAACCACATTCCTTAGGGAAAGAATTTTCAGACAGAATCTCTGATTTCAAGCTGCAAAGTTTCATTTATAATTGATTAACTTTCAACTTAGAGAAAAATGATGAATGCTTTGTACTTTTCAAATGAAATGCAATTTTTTTATTTTAGTTTTACAATTTAAATTCTAACAAAAGTTTCTGAGGCAATATTGATTTTTACAAGAAGTAAATCACATACCAGGAGAAATTAAACCAAAATTCAACTACCAAATTTGGACAGTTTTTCTAAAAAAACAATATTATATCCCTTATTGGCCTTGTCTAAAGTGAAAACCAGTCCTAGAAATTATATTTTGTTACATGTAACCTGAGCATAAAACCAAAGTGTGATTTAATCTCAACACTTAAAAAGTTAAAACATGTCGACGTACATCATGACCTGTCATTATTAAAAATTCAAACCTAGTGAAGATTTAGCTTTGTTCTTCAGTTCATCGATTTACATGCAGACACGGTGACGGCAAAACTCATTCAGTTTGATGATTTATTCACAGCTGCGATAATAAAAAATATGAAATACCCCATTCTGCTTTCTTTGATAATTATCCTTCTACGTGTAGGTGGTGCTGATTAACAATACACATTTCTACAGCGTGTTATTTTTATTGAACAAACTAGCGAAATCAAACTTTATATTGAGTGATTTTGCAAAACAGGAAAATCTCAAATTAAACCTTGTCAAAGGGACATAAGTGCATGTCAAGCCTCAAAACATTACTGTGGGTTGTTTTTAAAGAAAGTTTTGTTAAGAAATGCAATAAATTTATACATCTAAGTCTGAGATGGTTGAAGGTCACGTTTATACAGGTGTCCAGATAATACAGGTTAAATAAAAATAAGCATCTAAGTCTGAGCTAGCTGAAGGGCTGGTTTAAACAGGTGTCAAGAGTCTAAGTCTGAGCTAGCTGAAGGGCTGGTTTAAACAGGTGTCCAGATTCTAAGTCTGAGCTAGCTGAAGGGCTGGTTTAAACAGGTGTCCAGATTCTAAGTCTGAGCTGGTTAAAGGTCTCGGGTGTCCAGATAATACAGGTAAGATATAAATATACATCTAAGCCCGAGCTGGTTTATACAGAGTTTGGTTTAGACAGGTGGTACTGTATTGGTGGCAGATGTACCTGTGGTTTATACAGAGTTTGGTTTAGACAGTCACAGGTGGTACTCTATTGGTGGCAGATGTACCTGTGGTCTATACAGAGTTTGGTTTAGACAGGTGGTACTGTATTGGTGACAGATGAACCTGTGGTCTATACAGAGTTTGGTTTAGACAGATGGTACTGTATTGGTGGCAGATGTACCTGTGTTCTATACAGAGCTTGGTTTAGACAGGTGGTACTGTATTGGTGGCAGATGTACCTGTTTTTTATACAGAGTTTGGTTTAGACAGGTGGTACTGTATTGGTGGCAGATGTACCTGTGGTATATACAGAGTTTGGTTTAGACAGGTGGTACTGGATTGGTGGCAAATGTACCTGTGGTCTATACAGAGCTTGGTTTAGACAGGTGGTACTGTATTGGTGGCAAATGTACCTGTGGTCTATACAGAGCTTGGTTTAGACAGGGGGTACTGTATTGGTGGCAGATGTACCTGTGTTCTAAACAGAGTTTGGTCTATACAGAGTTAGGTTTAGACAGGTGGTACTGTATTTATTGGTGGCAGATGTACCTGTGGTCTATACAGAGTGTGGTTTAGACAGTCACAGGTGGTACTGTATTGGTGGCAGATGTACCTATGGTCTATACAGAGTTTGGTCTATACAGAGTTTGGTTTAGGCAGGTGGTACTGTATTGGTGACAGATGTACCTGTGTTATATACAGAGTTTGGTCTATACAGAGTTAGGTTTAGACAGGTGGTACTGTATTTATTGGTGGCAGATGTACCTATGGTCTATACAGAGTTTGTTTTGGCAGGTGGTACTGTATTGGTGACAGACATACCTGTGTTCTATACAGAGTTTGGTCTATACAGAGTTAGGTTTAGACAGGTGGTACTGTATTTATTGGTGGCAGATGAACCTGTGGTTTATACAGAGTTTGGTTTAGACAGGTGGTACTGTATTGGTGGCAGATGTACCTATGGTCTATACAGAGTTTGGTCTATACAGAGTTTGGTTTAGACAGATGTACCTGTTGCTGAGGTATTTGTTGTAGTTGAACACTTGAATGTCGATGATTTCTTCTTTTTCCACGGGACGTGCCACAGGCCATTCAAACGACTGAAACAGAAATTGACAATATCTTCAATTGGTAATAAAACTTCTGCTCAATATCTCAATTTATACCGAAAGAAAAACAATTTCATTTTAAGGTTTTTAAACTTGAAAAAGGAAAAAATACAAAGAGAAATCTTTTAAGCCAATCCAGGATTTTTGCATTGAGTGCATGTCAGTTTTTCTGACTGAAAAGAATTAAAATCGATGAAACATTGGCATTATTGACAGATTACAGTCCAAAGTTGCGGACGAGCTATCTGTGTAGTCTCCGTAGAAACACTGAAGGTTTCAACATAGTTCTGTAATTACCAAAGACCACCGCACGCGACGTTCCTTAGCGTGGAGCGACACTCAACATAGCGCAAGAGTACGAGACAGCACAGGAAGTCTGTGATCAAGCATTTGACACTCGGATAGAGTTTAAGCTAGAACTCTTCTGTATAGAGGCAAATTAACTAGCTAATTGTCTTACAGGCATCGTCAGTGAAATCAACCTCATACAGGTATTAATCAGGGTGTTATGGTATAGCCTAGCCTTGGGTTACGTACGTGAAAGATCAATTTACGTTCAGTCTAATGAAACGCTGGCAATCGCAACTTTTTAAGTCATTAATGAATTAATGTAAACACAAATCCTCATGTCTGATTTTCATTTATCTTCCCATTTTCAGGAATATCAGAGAACTTTTCACAATATACATGTACAAGTTCGATTTGAATTCATTTTAGGCAAACAAAATCATTCTTACTTTGATTTCTGACAAAGATTTTAGGCGTGAATGTTCAGTAGTGGAGAGTTCAAAATTCAAATGAAACTTTTGACTCAACATCATCCAAATTTATCATATCGCAACTGTTTTGATTTGGTATAAAGACTGAACACCTAACAAAAATGTCGCGTTTCGATTATGTTTTTGCATTAGACACATTACTGTTATTATTGATTACAGAAAAAGACATTGTGTGAGATCTATTAGCTTGCTTAAATCTCATTCAAGTATTGGGAAGTAAAACCCATTCCTCTTTCCCATGCATTCTCACTCAATCAACACGCGAGTATGAACCATCAAGTGGCCAATTATAAGCCTCACCGTGATGAAGAATTTGCATGTCAAAAATATCTTAAAACCGGAAACATGCAAAGCAGTGCTACTTCAGGGCATGCTTTTGGAATGTTAACAGAAATTATCTTTGAAATATTATTTGACACCTCCAGCAATTATTGTAACCTGAACAGTATAAATGCCAAGTCCCCTTTGTATTGAAAGTTAAATGCTTTCTTGAAACATTAGGCAGATATATTTTCATCTGACTTGGGACTCAATGAAACAGGTATTTTATCTTTCTGACTCGTAATGAATTTCATTTTCACCGTAATTAGCACTCCTCCCACTATCCCCCTTTTTTCGAGAGGAATTTAAACTATAAAGACCCCCATCCAGACCTGACCAGGCCCAATCAACAATTAGTAATAGTACTTAAATTTTAAGGTAGAGATTTATGTCTGGTGATCATGGCAGGACTTCCTGTGAAGCTCCTGCCACACTCGAGTGCTTATTTTATCCTTTGGTGATAACAACTGGTTGAAGTTACACAACTCTTTCTACCATAACTTGCACTATCCTCATAAATGCCCCCCTTTAAGCCTATTTTAAGCACTAATTACAGCAAATATGGTTAACAAGTTTTGCGCTCTGGATTGTTATTATATTATGACACGAGTGAAATCCTAATTGACCTTCGACACCAGAAGTTCATTCCTTGAGAATAGTTGATCTTATTTTGCTTTTTCTATATCTTTTAGGATGAAATTATCAAAAACTTTATTCACAAAGATTAGATGGTACAAGTAGAAAACAAATACACTGAAATAAAGTACAGCTAATAATAAATATAAATACAAGAGGGATCCTGGTTCTCAATGGCAGAGGTCACAGAAATAAGAATCAGCTGTTTATGTTATTCTGAGACTTATCTTTATGAGGTAATATTTTTTTTATAATCAAACACTTTGTTGGAAAGGAATAAAGAATTTTACCAGCAAGTCTAGAACCCCTAACATACAAAAAGTTAGGACACTTGATATTATTTCCTATAAAGTTACTTTGTAACAGGTTTTGGCAATGTTTATCACTAAGAAAACATTTTATGACCTTGATCTTTGACATTGGCACCTTGACCATACACCAAAAGGCCCCTTGGCATCCATTCCTAAACTTTCATTTAATGGTGATATTATGCAATTTGTACTGTAAGAAACATACACTTGTATTATACCTTTGTGACCTTCATCAATGACCTTGAACTTGAATGAAACAAAACCTTGTGTCGAATTCCTACAATACTACTTTCAAACATTGTGACATAATGAAGATGATATTAGATTTAACCTTCAGGTATGTACACCAGGGAGCAAACTAATGCTGTCAATCCCAACAGTATTGCTTAAAAACGTTACCATGTGAGGTTTGAATTCAGTTCTTCATAACCTTGAACGGAAACCATATGACCTTGACCTTATACCTTCTTGTTGTGCAATATTTACCATTATAACCTTGACTTTTCACTGTTACGTTAGACTATGGAATACCTGGCATAAAACACAACCATCTGGCTTAATAACTTTATCATACAATAATTATTGTCAACAGGATATGGAAGGTGATAACAGTGACCTTGACCATGACTATGTACCAAAATGAACAACTTTAACCCAATGAGAACCTCTGCATAAAATTTGAGATAGACCTTTCCAATTTTTTTTGAGAATTCAAGAAAAGGATATTTAGTTGTTTAACTGATTGTTTTTTAACAAAAGTATAGATCTTAAACCTGAAGGTTTGTGACCTAATGGAATGAATCTATTGAATTTCTCTGGGTAAGTATTAACATTCCACTTCATGATTACTGGATGTTGACTGATGGATACTTCATGGACAAAAAGTGATTTCTTAAATCGACAGAAGTTTTGAAGACATTGAAAAAATTGTGTAAAACGCCAGATACATTTCATACTATGTCAAACATATCTTTTTCTTTTGAATTAAACTTAGCAGGCATTTATCACTCTTTTCATAAAACATTGGCGGTTTCTACATGTATAAGGAATTCAAGGGGTTGGGGGGAGAGGTGAAATGAACATGAAATATAAGCTGTATCCCTAAGGGAAGAAGTGAAGACACCAAGAACATGATTGTATTCATTTCTTCATTCCCAGCAATAGGATTATGGGATGGGGTCTGAAATATTTTCATGTTACAACATAGAGAGTAAGCCCGAAGAACTAGGCCAGACCGAAGAGCCAATACCAGGAGCAAGAGCGTTATTCATCTCCCCATTTTTTATATGTCAAGTCCAACGGAGTAAGTCTCCAGGGGTGGGGTCAGACCCCCCTGTCAATCTTGGCAGTATGAATGTCTTTGTCTATTGCTACTTATCAGTGGGGACACCAACTGTTTCCCAGTTAAGACTTAATTTCCCTAATAGATCCTACAAAAAAGGTAAGAAAAGACTCCCAGGCAAATTCTGGTAGCATGAATGCATGGCAATGTATGGACATGTGTGGGGATCTCAACCATTTCCATATTGTAATATAACTATTCGCAATTGGCCTTGCCCCTTGGCCCCCACAAGGGCCTTTTCTCAATTTATACAAAGTTGAGTCCCCTTGGCTCAAGGATGCTCTGGATAAAAAAATGTTTCAAATCTCTCCATTTATATGGAAGAAGAAGGATTTTAAGTACTTACATTTAAGTTGGCCCCATCACTCTGCCCCAATAGGTGCCACACCCTCGTTCTTTAACAATATATTAACCGTCATGGCACTGCCACTACATAACCGTACCAAATTCTGTTGGCATTCATTTAGGCCACGGGCTGATCGTTGATGTCACCATTATTATGAAATCATAATTGCTACATTTGATACCACTGACCCGCGCAAAGGCTGTTCTATTCATTCAACAAGCATACATGATACAAACATCATTCAAACAAAATGCTGGATAATAATACATGTTGTTGATTTTTTATGAGATGAACAGATTCCAAAACTGGTAAATGTAAGTATTGAACTAATTTCAGTTGGCATTCATAGGCAATATGAATTGACCAAATTTGTAAAAATGCCTTGACCCATTTTGAAAAAGAAGGATTTTAAAGATTTACCTTAACTTTACCTATTAGGCCCCACCAATATTCATGCTTAAACCCTTTCACCCCTATGTAACTTAAATAAACTCTACCATAAATTGATCTGGATGAGTCCATCGTGGTCTACAGTGTTGAAAGGGTTAAGATGGGGGAACACATTCCTCAGCCTGTTGGTTTTGTCCCCACCCTGAGGTTACATACACTTTGCAATGTTGTATGTTGTTCCACTTTACTACCTCCCATTCTCCTGTCTTAAACAAGTCAATAACTCTTTAAAATCTTGGGACTGAGGCTTGAATTTCAGGATGTCTCTTTTTTATCGTCAATAAAAGCTAGCAGAATCTTTATTTAAAAGCCCTACCTCTAAGTAATCAAATAGTTAAGGAGACTTTATCTCAGGTACATGGTATTCCAATTTAGTAATTATTTGTACATCTAGTGCTATGAACCCTGAATTAAATTCCTCTCAGCTTCCAAAACAAGCACAATAATCAATTACATTTAAACCTGCTTTAGAGACAACCTCTATTATGAGACCACTTGTTCTAAGAGAATTCTTTTAAACCTTCCTTTTGCAGTTAGTTTCATTTTAAATGAATCTGTATTTAGAGACCACCTGTGTTAAGAGCCCACTCTTCATGTTCCCAAATGTAGTGTTTTATTGCCAATTAACTGAACCTGAAGGAAGAGACCACCTGCAGTAAATGACCATGTAATGTATGGGGTTTCCAAAGGTGGTCTCTGAATAAAAATTTGACTAAAATTAATAAACACATTTACAATATTCTACTTCATTGGTACAAAACAAAAGCAGCTGAAAATAAAATATTTCTTGTAATCCTTTTTTACGCCTTTCCCTGCCCTGACTGAGGTATGCTGTACAGTAAGCCAGTCTAAGTCTGTCCTCATTCCCAGGTGTATTACCAGGATATTTACTGAGGTATGCTGTACAGTAAGCCAGTCTAAGTCTGTCCTCATTCCCAGGTGTATTACCAGGATATTTACTGAAGTATGTTGTACAGTAAGCCAGTCTAAGTCTGTCCTCATTCCCAGGTGTTGTACCAGGATATTTACTGAGGTATGCTGTACAGTAAGCCAGTCTAAGTCTGTCCTCATTCCCAGGTGTATTAACAGGATATTTACTGAGGTATGCTGTACAGTAAGCCAGTCTAAGTCTGTCCTCATTCCCAGGTGTTGTACCAGTATATTTACTGAGGTATGCTGTACAGTAAGCCAGTCTAACTCTGTCCTCATTCCCAGGTGTATTACCAGGATATTTACTGAGATATGATGGACAGTAATAAGCCAGTCTAAGCCTGTCCTCATTCCCAGGTGTATTACCAGGAGATTTCCTGAGATATGCTGTACAGTAATAAGCCAGTCTAAGTCTGTCCTCATTCCCAGGTGTATTAACAGGATATTTACTGAGGTATGCTGTACAGTAAGCCAGTCTAAGTCTGTCCTCATTCCCAGGTGTATTACCAGGATATTTACTNGGGGGGGGGATATGGGTGGTCTGTGTCACAGAGAAAACCAACCTGACCTACATATACTAATGCAATTGCCATGGTGAATCCATGGAGATATTCAGGAACATAGACGTCCTCCCCTCCTTCATAAAACTCAAGTCTATAGGGAGTTTTTGAACCTTTTCACATATTGACTCGCAAATATTCCCTGATATTTTTCTATAGTGAATAAACATAAATGTCATGATCACTTCAAATCAATTATAATATAAAAACGTGAATCAATACAGCTCCCTTTGTAACATTAAAGTGTTGAAATCCATAGCTAAATCCTACATGAAATTTTCACTAATGTTCTACTTTATTAAGGTAGCATGCCAGTAAGATTGTGTAATTTCTCTGTGTTGTTATACCTAACAGCTAGAGGTTGTACACCAGTAAATTTGTTCTATTTATTACCCAATTTACAATGTATACAGATACATATTTCAATAAAATTAATTTTTAAATAATTCTAATCAACATTGACTTTGACCTTAATCTTTTTGACCTTTAGACACATTACAATCCTTTTCTATGTTTTGGTAAAAAAAAAACAATTTTACATTATAAAGCTTTGGATCAATTAAAACTGATTGTATAAAGTTACTTTGTGACCTTGACCTTTGACCTTCATTTATTGCAATTATCATTCTGGTTTTGTATCATGTTTTCATTATCCTGAGATATATTGATATGTTGTATCCATTGTAAAGGAATCTTAAGGGAAGTCTGAAACATGCATATGATACTCACAGTCCAGAAAGTCCATTACAAAACACACAGAATATCCAATGGTACTCATATAACACAAACCATAATTATAAGCCTATCAATAAGATAAGGAAAATCAACAGTGACCATGTAAGCAAATTTTCATTAGTTTTATAATCCACAGGTCATTGTGTAGCACTAAAATAACATTCTCATCCTGTAGATCCAAACCTATTATCCACTGGTCATTTTCAAACATCGACAATTTGTAATAATATTCTCCATCAAATACTACTAATCCACCGGGCACTCTTCATACTCCAATATTAAATCTGCTGCTGATCCTTCTTAATATCACAAATCCACTAGTCACTTTGAATCATCAGAAATATTAAATCAACTTCTGTCTCTCCTGTTATATTGCTGGTCCATTGGTCACTATGATAAATCCTGTGATCACTGTGACGAATCCACTGGTCACTGCGAAGAATAAGTATTTATTTGCACCATTTCCTCTGTAACGTTGTTGATCCACTGGTAAATTTGAATCATCCCTAAGTAATACACTTGTTGTCCTGTAGTTGGCTGGTCACCACATTTCGTGGACGATTCAGCAGTAGCAGTGATAATTAATCTGCTGACCATTAATTATAGCCCCAGTGTTTAATTGGTTATGGTATACTACAATCCACATCACGGGAAGTTGTACAGTCTAAAGCTTATTGAAAGACAAAAGAGGTCAAAGAGGTTCCACTTAATGCCTACTATGTTGTGTTAGCAGATCTAGAGTCTTAATGAAAAACATTCAGCAGCCCCAAAGTTATGGTCAAGAAAAGCATTAAAAATATTTGACCTTTGACCCCTAGCAGAGAACTTGACCTTGGATAACCTGTGTATGGTATATGTTATACCATATGTGTCTGCTCGGTGTGCTTTCATCAAACTGTATTCAGAGGTTCAGTATGGTCAAATAAAAACAGACTCAGGAATGAAAAGAATGCTTAACAAGAATGATTGCTATTATAAACACCTAACCACATATAATTATGAATTGGCTTATTGCAGGGTATATATTTTGAGGCCTCTGAAAATGATGGATGAGCTTATTACCAGGCATGGTCGTGTTGCTGGATAAATACTGTATAGACATATACCAGGGAACCTGATACACTCACAAGTCTGTATCTATTACACACTCTGTACAAACTCCACAATTACATGTGACATGCAATTCCATACAATATAGATTTGAGACAGACATAATAACAAAACACAATAGCACAACAGGTTTTTCAGATTACACCATACAACCCCTCCCCCACCCAACCTACAACATAACAGAACGACACAAAGGGATGCCCCTAAAATGACCCCGGGGGTCAAGTAAAAAGCCCATTCCACTACGACCTTGAAAACGGTCAGTGATCTTCACTCAGTTACCTCGTCAAACCAAATGCTGTCCTCAGCATTCTCGATGATTTTGGAGTAGTGGCAAACACCTGCAACGACAAAAAAAGAAGACTGAATAATTTATATGTGTGATTTATAATTCATAAAGGCATCTTCCCTTCCAAACAAATCAATTGATGTTAGACTTTCAACTGGTAAGGTTACAAAACTGAGGTTCTACAAAGACTTGGTGATCAGTTCAAGATATCTGGGTACTTTGTCTGTAGAAGGACCAAGTCTATATCAAGCTTACTTAGTTAATGCTAATCATGACCAATTTATGTTTTTGGGTGAATTTATGTTTTTGGGGGGAAATTTGCAGTAGTTACATGAAATTTTCCATTCATGCCATTTAAAGTTCTTCAACAATTAGTCTAGATATACAGTCAATTATGTCTTCCAACCTGTATATGACAAAAGTTTCATAATGTTTTGGACACATTTGTAATGCACTGAATATGAAAATTCTTAAAAACAAGAAGAAAAGGTTCACATCTGGTGTGAATTCATAGAAATTTCAGCTAAGATGGGACTTTACAAACGAGGCATTTTTTCTTCAGGAGAAATTTACAGATAAACGGTAAAGAATCTGGCATAGATTTGTACATGAATGAGTCCAGAGGCTTATATTTAGATACTTTAAGTCTAAGCAAGAATAGATCTGACTGATTATACCAAGTCTGCCCTCTTTAAAGAAGTCCCTGGTTTCTTAAAATTTTGAGGTTTTATATTGACCTTGTTCAAAGACAAACTACATCAGAGTATAAGAATAGTAAGCACACAAAATTACATATGAGGAGAAAAACATTGATATTTTCATCCTTGTGAGGACATAATGATTCAAAGCCTAACAACGACTGGCCTAGAACTGTCACAGACATCAATGGTGTTCTATCTAGTTCCCACAAGTCCAGAGGGACAACTATTCATAGTTTTGCTGTCTGGTCATTTTGTCCTTTACATCTGATATCTATCACAAACTATAACAATTACATACATAAAATGTTGATCTTCAATCTCAGGGGACAAAACTCTTGTGCTGTAAACTACCCGAACACAAGGTCACCGTTAACATATTAATGCATAAGCAAGATCATGGGGAACATAATGTCTGAACAAATATCTAGGTTAAATGTGACAAACTGTTATTGCAAAAACAAAGAAATTTGGGACAAAAGATCATGGCAAATACTTAGATCATGAAGGGCACAAGGTTATAGACCCCTGTGACCTTGCTATGAGCTTGTGTCCTCCATATCATAGGGAGATAACATTGAGCTTGTGTCCTCCATGTCATAGGGATATAACATTGAGCTTGTGTCCTCCATATCATAGGGGGATAACATTGAGCTTGTGTCCTCCATATCATAGGGGGATAACATTGAGCTTGTGTCCTCCATGTCCTAGGGAGATAACATTGAGCTTGTGTCATCCATGTCATAGGGAGATAATATTGAGCTTGTGTCCTCCATGTCATATGGAGATAACATTGAGCTTGTGTCCTCGATGTCATAGGGAGATAACATTGAGCTGGTGTCCTCCATGTCATAGGGAGATAACATTGCGCTTGTGTCCTCCATGTCATAGGGAGATAACATTGCGCTTGTGTCCTCCATGTCATAGGGATATAACATTGAGCTTGTGTCCTCCATATCATAGGGAGATAACACTGAGCTTGTGTCCTCCATGTCATAGTGAGATAACATTGAGCTTGTGTCCTCGATGTCATAGGGAGATAACATTGAGCTTGGGTCCTCCATGTCATAGGGAGATAACATTGAGCTTGTGTCCTCCATATGGAGGTCATTCAGTTCACAAGTTCATGAAAAACACAAGGTCATTCAGTTCACAAGTTCATGAAGAACATAAGGTCACTCAGTTCACAAGTTCATGAAGAACACATAATCATTTAGTTAAAAAAGTCATTCAGTTCACAAGTTCATGAAGAGGACAAGGTCATTCAGTACTCAAGATCATGGAGAACACAAGGTCATTTAGTTCACATGGTCATTTAGTTCACAATGTCATTCAGTTTACAAGGTCATTCAATTTACAAGGTCAGTTAGTTCACAGGGTCATTTAGTTCACTTAGTTCACAAGGTCATTTAGTTTACAACGTATTTTTGTTCACAAGGTCATTTAGTTCACAAGGTCATTCAGTTTACAAGTCATCATGGGAGAACACAAGGTCACTCAGTCACAATATTATGGTCATGGAAAAAACAATGTCATTCAGTTCACAAGGTTATGGAGAACACGAGGTCATTCAAATTACAAGGTCATGAAAAAAAAATAGTCATGACAGTCACAATGGCATGACAGCCAGTTAAGCTATAATGACATGTTTACTTGGATACTAATGGGTTTCCAGGTCTGTACTTAAAGAGCCGATTAGAAGACTGTCAACCAATCAAGATCAAGCCCTGGGCCACATACACACGGCACCTTACCAGCACGGAAAACACTTTTCTGCAGATTCTCACTGCATACAATCAATTGGGTGTATATCACCGAGATTTCTGTGGTTAACAGCTCTCTAACAAGGATTTCGTTTTTTCTAATAAAAATTTGTATTCCTATCCTAACATTCTAGTGAATAGGATTTGTATGTTTCTTTCAGCAGAATAAAACTGATGTTAGAAAGATTCTGAGCTAGGTAAGTCTCATCCTAGATAGCATGCTCTGACAAAGCCTGATATGAATTATCTATTGAAGTTAGCACTAAGCTATTTCCCCAAGGACCACACATTTTGTCTTGCTGATGATGGAACAGAGAAGATGGTCAACGATGAGGCTCTAAGTGCCATGTCTGCACGTCAGCACGACTTCAACCTCTCCCTGTATTTATTGGTTTGAACTTCCTGGAAAGCAGCAAGCCAACGATTATATACCGGTCTTGAGCACACACACACAGTCAGACAAAATTTCATTCATGTCAACAGTGGTGAGATCTAGTAAGGTGAGCATTTAACAGAGTCCTTAACTCATTCACTCCGAAAGACACATTTGAACTCTTCCAATTCAAAGGTTGGAATTGTTCATTATGAAAATTCAGGGGTGAATGAGTTAAATCTTGGTGAAGGGATGGGGCACTTGGGCCAAAAAAAGGACCTGAAATGCTTTAGTGTTAATTTTGTTGATTATGGTATACACAGTGAAATTTTGAACATATAAGTTCATCTTGATGTGCAGATTAGACCCCATGACGATTCATGGTGCTAAGTATTTCAAACAATTTTCTTATGATTCCAGAGAGAGCATAATAAACCCAACAGATAATGACACTACATTTGCGTACATTTGGTCCAGTATTAGATATAACTTGAGACAAGAGTATTTATTTACCAAACACACACTTCAGTAACATAAGATATAACTTGAGACAAGAGTATTTATTTACCAAACACACACGTCAGTAACATTTAGCTGACTGCTCTTTCTCAGTACACAGCCTGATATTGCTGCAACCTCCAGAGAACTCAAGAGGCATGAAAATGTTAGATCACGTTTCTCGGGATAATGAATAAATAAACCAATAGAATGTCATTCAAGCTATCATTTAACTGCAGTGCTGCTGAAGTTGGTTTGCGTAATTTATCTATTGACCGTGTCAATAGTCGTTGCTCCTCAAGTCAGAATGATGTCGCTGTTTGTTTGGTCATTTGTTATGTCATGTTACAACCAAAACTTTTAATATTCAACATGTGATGAGTCAGGATCAATTAAGTTTGTAAACCAATCCCAAAAAATACCTTCATCATTTTGAAAGTAAACATGTAAAAGGCTTATATTTGAAATAAAATAATGATTGCCTATATCCAACTAACCAGGAAAATGAAACCATCCTCAAAACAATCTATTGAAAACTTGAATTTTGAATTAAAAAATTGAAGTCTGGTTAAACCAAAACATCATAACTCTTTACAGATGACAATGTAGATTAGCAATCAAATCATGCAACAAATCAAAATGCATAGGGAAAGGATTTTTTAAAACCATGCAGTCACAAATTGACATTTGAAATATTCTCCATCAACCTTCCGAAACCTAAAATCTTTGATTAGGTTAAGGCAAACACACATTACATTTATACTAGCCTTATTCCTAGAAGTAAAGAAGATAAGTCTATCAATAAAAGAAAAACAGTAATTTATTTGCCGTCATATAATGCCAGTTTCGATTCCTATAAACAAACCATTGTAGACATGGGGGAAATTAACCCATGTCAGAATTCCCCGATATCTTCAGTTCAAAAAGAGAAGATAGAAAAATCACTTGACCATCCTACACAAGTCTCTGTCCTCGTTTGTCTTGACTCTAAACAAACTCCTCCTATGACAGTTACATTCTATTCAAGTACTCTGCAGACTCAGATCTTACGACTAGTTTTACCCAGAGAGTTCTGGGATCGCAATGACTTACATCTGAGTTCGACTTTGATCCCTTTCCCCAAGGGGAAGTTTCTATCCAAAAAAGAGAAGGAATTTCAAAAAAAAATTATTGATCTAACTCTTCTGTGCTGCTGACATTTTCCAGACGTCATAGAAATATATCCATTGGTATAATGTACTGGCATCATCATACTAACTTCATCAGTTAGTGACTGAAACCTCCATTATCTATTGTTACCGAGGGCAACACCAGTAATTACCATTTATCTGTGTCCAACTACATTGGACTTGATATGTGTATCGGTGTCCCTATAAACCATCCCCCCTATAAACCATCCCCGGTACAGTTTATTAAAATGAATAGGTCAAATCCTTACGAAGTTATGATAAGTAGTACCAATCCTAACTAGTCCATTATCTTTCAATACAAATTTTAAAACAAAGGAAACATACAATTTCAAAAGCCACTACATATTGATATAAGTAAGTTAAGGTCAGGGAGTACTGGGAGGAGGGCTACTGGTACATTAGTTCAACTGCTTTAGCAACCTATCTGAAAGTCAGAAGTATCATATAAGATTAAGAGAATCCCTTCTCTGAAGTTATATACATCAGACAAGATTTAGAGACTCCCTTCCCCATAGATTTTACATCAGACA